AAATATAACGGTGGCGGTGGCGGCGGGGGGGGATTGCAAGATGTTCATGGTGAGTAGTTTTAATTTATAAATAATCCACTTTTGAGCAGGCAATTGTTAAAAGAAAGATCCATGTTAATAAAAGAAGAATCAGACTGTGGCTGGAATAATATTAGCTACTCAAATGAATTAGGAAATATATTCTGAAGACAGTAATAGACATTACAAATAAACTGTCACTCCTTAAATGCTGAAAGCAATAGACTGCAGAGTAAAAGCTTTTCCCACTTCAGGTAATTTGCAAATGTGTTTCCTTTGGTTTATGACTGAAGTCTAATTTCTCACCAACAAATCACAAGGATCTCTCCAGCACAACCACTGGTTAGTCCTTTCAGTTCTAATCACAGGCTAGCTTAACAACTTATTTCTTCCCTTAGTAAAATGCTGATAAGGACGAGAACACAAATTAGTAAAGTACAGGGTATACCATTTGTGTGTGCTATTTTTGGTGCAAATTGCATGACATTTAGCTAATGGGAACATTTATTTTATTTATTTATTACATCAAATAAGCAAGTTCTTCAAGATGGAAAGAAAAAACATAAATAAATAAAGAAAAGAAAGTCAGATATTAACTGGAAGGAAGGCCTGCGTAAACATCCAGGTTTTAAATTGATTTAAAGATGCCCAGTGAAGATCTCCGGAGGAAGGTTGTTCCAGAGGCAAGGAGCTACCACCAAGAAGGCCCAGTTTCTTGTTTTTTTCCTTCCGGGCCTCCCTCGGCGTCAAGCTCCTCAGCCTCACCTCCTGACTCTATCGGGTGACACAGGTAGATCTTGGTGGGAGTAGGTGTTCCGCCAAATATCGAGGCCCTAAACCATTTAGGGCTTTATACGTAAGCATTAACACTTTGAAGTCAATGCAGAACCGAATGGGCAGCCAGTACAATGCAGCAAGAATAGGAGAAATATGATGGTATTTTCTCACTCCACTAAGGAGTCTGGCGCCGCATTCTGCACCACTTGGAGTTTCCACAACAACCTCAAAGGTAGCCCATGTAGAGCGCATTACAGTGGTCTAATCTTGAGATTATGAGCACATGTACGAGGGTAGTGAGCGCCCCCACCTGGAGATAGGGCCACAGCTGGGCTATCCGCCGAAGATGGAAAAAGGCGGTATGGAGCACGACGCCACCTGATTTTCCATGGTGAGCGCCGGGTCCAAATGGATCCCCAAGATTCTTGAGAAAAGTTAACAGGGAAAAAGCTAGCAGATTTGTACTTGAAAAAGAAAAGGTAGTTTTCAAAGAGTAATTTTAGGTGATACAGTGGTGCCCCACATGACGACGATAATCCGTCCCGTGAAAATCGCTATTTAGCAAAATCGTCATCATGCGAAAACCCTTTCCCCATTGGAATGCATTGGAATGCGTTCCAATGGGGAAAATATCTTGTCATCCAGCGAAGATCGCCCATAGGGAAGCCATTTTGCGAGCGCCAATCAGCTGTTAAAATGGCTGCCCTGCAAAGCATGAGTCCAGAAAACACAGGGCAGCCATTTTGCGGAGCTGAAAAAATTGTCTTGCGAACAAACGCTTCACGAAGCACGGACCCAATCGATGTCCAGCGAAAATCCCCCATTGGATTGACTGTTTTGCGAATCGCTATAGCGATCGCAAAAGTTATCGTGATGCAGATTCAGCATTTAGCGGGGTCATCATTTAGCGAGGTACCACTGTACTATAGTGGAAAAGGGAAGGCATGCATCCTTCACAGCAGAGTTGTTGTTTTTTATTTTAGTGTGTAGCTGAAAAAAAGTGCAGTTAGAAACTGATAGATAAACCATGGTGTCTCACTATTACAGAAATCCCATTTCTTCTGAGCTGGACTTTATCAGTTTCCAACCACACAGTTTGTTTTCCAATTGCACAGTTTGTGTCGAGCTGCACATTAAAAAAAGAGCCATGCTTCAGAAAAATGTGAAAATTACAAATGGGCTAATGAAAAGGGAGAGCACTGATGAAAAATAACAAGCAGCATTAGCAGTGTTTACCACTTTTTTGTTCATTTTAAAGACTTATGTGTATGTTCCTGTGCTCAAGTGGTATAGTAGAGAACCTTTAAAATTCAAAGAAAGGAACAATAATTACAAAGGCACCATAAAAAAGGATCACAAAATACAGTAGCCTAGTGAATGTTTTGCCACTCGTCACCACTGATGTTATGGTGGGCTGCATTCTCACCAATTCCTCAGCAGTCATCTTCCCAGCACTAGAAATGGGGACGAACATAAAAACGAATCGCGGTAGTCAATGAATATCACTGATACATCAAATATTAACTGCTTCATATTTTTGAGGTCCAGAGACCCCAAATAATGTGAAGCAATGAATATAACCCTTTTATATTCATCTCTTCATCTATCCCTCTCTGCTTATGCCCCCGTGGATCAGATGTTCCTCAGGGGCATAGGTAGAGAGGGTTTTTTTCCCTTCAGGCAGCTTACTAAAGCCTACTCCAAGGGAATCTCGACCTTTGTTTACAAAGACAGGGGGAGTCACTTCAATCATGATTCCCCTGTCTTTCTGTGCCCCTGTGGCATAGACAGAGGAAGACTGAGTGAAGGAATTCCTCCCACTGTCTTTGCAAACAAAGGGGATCACTTTGGTCAGGCTTTCCCAGTCTAGGTTGTAGGGTCATAGAAAAAGGAAATCTAAACCAGGTGATGCCCCCATCACTATCTTTGCAAAGATGGGGGGGAGAATCTCTTGGGTCACACTTCCTTTGGCCTTCTATGCCTGCCTAGGCACAGGAAGACAGGGGAAGCCTGATCAAAGTAATCCCTCACCCCACTGTCTTTGCAAAGACAGTGTAGGGAGGAAATCACTTGGTTGACGCTTCCTCTTTCTATACCCCCACAACACAGAGAGGGGAAGCCTTAACCAAGTGATCCCCCATTCCACTGTCTTTGCAATGACAGCAGGGGGAGAATCCCTTGGGTCTTTGCAAAGAGAGGGTGAGGGGAAATCACTTCAGTTAGGCTTGCCCAAAGGGAGCCCTCCCTATTTCTCTTTGCAAAAACTAGGCTGCCGGAGCAGAAACTGGCAGGCTGTGGGGGTAGGGGACTCATGGGCTATGTAAAAAGACTCAACAAAGCAATAAATTGATTTGTGGTTAGTCGCACCACTGGAAGGAAATTCGTGAGTCGTCAAGGTTGACAATCTATGAATCAAGACAAAGTGCCATCTCTACCCAGCACCCATCTCATAACTGATCTACAGTATCTTGCCCTGTATCATGAAGGCCAAAAGAAGTTGTCTCTTGCAATAAAGTTGGCCTGATGGGATTTGACTCTTACCAGAACATCCTTCTTGTACTTTAATGCATGTCTCACGGATTGTTTCTGATGCAAATCATTTCTTTCCTTTCTTGTTCGTAGATGTTTCTTCCTCCTCCTCCTCTTCTTCTTCTCATTATAATCCTCCATAAAATTAAGAAAAACAAGCCAGTGTTAGAAGTGTTTCCAACTACCACTGAAAGACATGCGTAGAGCACATTTGTAGCTATTTCTGCTACCACTAGATTCCACTCAGGTATAATGATTAGGCATGACAGAAATTGCTCTGTGGCACTTATACAGCGGTGCCCCGCGTAGCAATAATCTGTTCCGGAAAAATCGTCGCTATGTGGAAACATCGCTATACGGAACAAAAAAGCCCATAGGAATGCATTAAAACACGTTTAATGCGTTCCTATGGGCAAAAAACTCACTGTTCAGTGAAAATCCTCCATACGGCTGCCATTTTCGCTGCCTGGTAAGTGAGGAATGGGCGCGAAAACACAGTGGGTGGCCATTTTTTTTACCCAGCGACCATTTTGGAACAGCCAATCAGTTGTTAGAAAAAACATCGCTATGCGAAAATCGGTAAGCGAAACAGCTTACCGATCATCGCAAAGCGATTTTTCGCTATCTAAATCATTGCAATGCGATCGCTTTTGCGATCGCAAAAACTTAATCACTATGCAGATTCGTCGTTAAACAAAGCACTCATTATGCGGGGCACCACTGCATATGGTAGCTATGCACCTACGTTGGAAATGAGCCACACTGAATGCAATGGGATTTAATTCTGAGTCAGCATGTGTGATACAATATATACAATATGCTTAATATCCATCTGTGAAGGACGAGAGAATTGGAGTGTGCCATCTCCTCCTAGTGAGAAAGAAAGCAAGGCTGTCGGAAAGAGAAAAGAGGAGGCAGAGAGTTGTAAAGAGCCAGAAAGGGTTAAGACAGAAGTCTGCCTGTCAGAAGAGGGGAACAATGGGGAGGAACAATGGATGGAGGTATGGGAGGAGAACTTAAATAGAGGAGGGGAAGCGCTAGATTTTCAGGCGAAGAAGGAGGCAAAAGAGGAGAAGAAAGCAAGAGAACCTACTGAAGTTGTGATTGATACTCCTTTATTACATGTTAATAAAAGTTCTGTTTCTGAAGTTAAAACCTCTCCGTTTCCTGCTTATCCTGGGCAACCGCCAGATTTTTCTAACGGACCTTTTGACACCATCTCAACAGATTACAACAGATTACAAACAAAACATAGCCATTTCAGGAATCCTTTAAAAATGCTTCTATATTAGTCAAACAAAACACAGTCATTTCAGGAATCCTTTAAAAATGCTTCTATTGAAAGATTATTTCTACATGCATGACAAAGCATAAATTCAGTTTATTACATCAGATAAGCAATACAAGAAACATAAAGGAAGTAAACTAAGAAATTAGAAAGCAACACAAAGCAACTACCATACTAATATCTATTTTTAGCAACCCAAATTAGTCAAACAAAACACAGTCATTTCAGGAATCCTTTAAAAATGCTTCTATTGAAAGATTATTTCTACATGCATGACAAAGCATAAATTCAGTTTATTACATCAGATAAGCAATACAAGAAACATAAAGGAAGTAAACTAAGAAATTAGAAAGCAACACAAAGCAACTACCATACTAATATCTATTTTTAGCAACCCAAATTTCCTTGTATGTCCCTCTTTTGAAACATGTAGATTTCTTCATTCTAACAAGGAAGCACACATATGTTGTAATGGTCTCTTTTTAAGCCACTAACAATGATAGCATATGGTAGCTGAGTTTTGATTCCCATGCATTTCAAAGGGCCTGAATATTACATTATGCATTTTCCCATTCTTCCAGGAACCTTATTCATCAGAAATACAAAGCTCTCACCTTCTCTATCATGTTGACCAAATGTGCAGGGGGGCCATCAGACTGGGAGCTGTCAGATCCACTTGTGCTAATTAAGAAAAAAGGATAACAAATGTAGTGGTCCTAGTGATTCCAGCAAATCTTTCTATTCCTTGGAGTTCCTGTCGATTACCTTCTTCCAATTCTGAAATTGCCATGGGGGATACCTGGTACAACTCCCACCAGATATGCCCACAGCTTTCGACGTTTCAACCTATTTTCACTAGAAAAGGCAAAAGCTGTTCAAAAAAGAATATCATGGTAGCTGTTACCAGCACTTGTCTCTCCCCACTCAATTTTCTGCTAGCAGTGTTTGAAATGTGCCATTTCTACACAGTGTATTTTCCAACTGCACAACTCTATGCAAGAAAGAAAATCCAATAGTGCAGCATATCCTGGTCTGCCTATTTTACTGTCTCTGATCAATAGTTCCCCATCACTCCTCTAACATCCTCATTTAGTGAAGGTTTGTAGATCTAATTTACCTGGATTCAACATCAGATAGAGAGATGTCACTCCAGGTACTCTGTGTATTTTGATCATGGCCCAGCTCTGAAAATCTCCTCTGGATTTTTTGCTTCAGTAACTCTTTAAGTTCAGACAGACATAGCTGAAACTGAGATATGAATTGAGAGCAACTGAGAATTGCAAATACAATATGTCATAGGTAAGGATACTAGCTGTTCAATACATTATCCTCTGGTCCTGCTCAAGCGTCACTCTCTCACCTTAGAACGATCAGGGTCACAGAAGTCCAATAAGGTGTCACAAACATGATACCCCAGAGATGTGAGATCTTCAAAGGTAAAATGAGAGTTATTCTTATTGCCTGAGAAAGACAAAGACATATTTATTGTTTACTTATTTATTTTATCTGTATCCCACTTTTCTCCCATTGCAAGACCTAGAATGCGAATTAAAACACATACAGCTAAAAACATCAGTCATGTAGAAAAAAATGAAAAATAAAATAACATTATTTTAAAACTTATAAATATTTAACATAACCAAATAATTTATATTAAAACAAGCATGGAAGTAAAAAAAATTAAGCCATTTAAAAGCACAATGAGAAAAAGATGTGCAGCACAATTACAAAAAGATTCTTCCATGGCAGCTGCTTAGCATTCAATTGCCTGTCTAAATAAAAAGGTATTTTGCCTGCCAGCAAACAGAGAGAGAGAGGGTTAGCCTACTCTCCTACAGAAGGGAACTCTACAGCTTAGAAGCAGCCACTGAGAGGTCCCTCTCTTGCATCTTGACCAAACATATGGGCCCTTCAATATTTAGTGATTCTCTCATGCAAAATGTCCTGCAGAGGAGGATTCTATGACAAGACTATCCCTAAATTATCTACCCTGTTTCCCCAAAAATAAGACCTAATCTGAAAATAAGACCTAATATGATTTTTCAGGATGCTCGTAATATAAGCCATACCCCAAAAATAAGCCCCAGTTAAGTAAAACTCCGTCCTCCACCATTGTGCAGCAACCAGAAGATGACATGACTGTATTTGAATAAATGTAGATTGTTCTACATGAAAAAAAAATCCCCTGAAAATAAGCCCTAATGTGTTTTGGAGCATAAATTAATATAAGACCCTGTCTTATTTTCGGGAAAACATGGTAGTCAGATGACAGAATCCATCAGGCACAACATTCTTCTCTTTTGTCATTTGTACCTATTGTTATGACAATCTGTCTGCCCTGTTGCTAACTATAAGCAAGACAGAGTTCAGGGTTATCTATGCTATACATCTGATTTCTACTTCTCCACCTTGTTAAATACTTCTCCAAAGAGATCTATCATTACCATAACAGTAGCTAAAATCAGTTAACTCCATCCTGAATGCCCCATCTCCTGCTTAAAGGGAAGACATAGTTTTAGGAGACTTGGTGGGAAAAGGTTTTCTCTGCTCCATAAATCTTTTATGTCAGTCTTATCTTGCTTGCTAATCTAGTCTGCCATTATCTCTCTCAAATCAGCTTCAACATCTGTTAAAGTTGCTCTTATGAAGACCTATTGTTTCTTACTAATGTGTTATAAAATTCCTGACATTTCCCTGTAAGACTATTCCTATGTTATACACTATTCTGCCAGCTATGATATACAGTATTCTGCATCTGGGAAAATGCAATTCGCCATTATGCTGCCTTTCACTTGAACACCTATCTAATCCTACTCAAAATAAAAAGCTGAACAAGATGCGCTCTCATCTTGCAATTTTTGTGCAGCTAATTAAAAAGAATGGTTTTGTTTTCATTTCTTTTTATAATTCAGAACATGGGAACATACATCTCATCTCACAGGACATCAGTGATTGGTGAAATAGACTGGTTGATGTGGTAGTACAATTATAAGTATAAACACAGTTGTATACTTCTTTCAATCATGTAGAAAGATTTTACATCCCACCAATATTACTTGGATCATCATCACCCCTCTTTATACAGATAAGATAGTGGCTAGTACAGTCTGGGGCAGAAATAGATACTTACCCAGTGTTGTCCCACTGAATGTAGATTCCATAGTATAACTATTCAATATACCCATTCTCCACATTACAACCCGTCCTGTTCCTTCTTTACACTTTTGAACCTGAAACTTACAGCTGTTGAAAGAAAACTGAATAAAATCCATAGTGGTGAAGTTAATATTTATTCTGAGAACCAATTTATTCTCTCTGTTAGAAAAGCCCAATTGTATCAGATAGATCATGGGCTATGAAATATGCAGGAACAGATTTTTTTTCTATTTCCCCTACTACACAAAACTGTATACTTCTCAGCTGTTGGAACATTTCTTGGTACAAAGCCACAAGTATTATTTGGGAGGCACCAGCCAACATTGCAAGAAACAAAGGTTCTTTCTCACGTACACCACAGTTCGGTCCTTTGCACACAATCCTCATGCTATACATGTACTGTTTCCACTGCTCCTGGAATCAAGGTCCCTGGTTGTTATGGGGCTTCCTCTCCACTCTGGTTAGGCACAAGAACCTCTAGAGCAGCTTGCTCATGAAAGAATATTTGGCAGGAAGTACGTCTCCATTCATACCCTCACTTGAAAATTCAAACTGCACAAGTACACTCTTTCTATTCTAGGGAACACCTTTGGCCATCAAGTTGCTTCTCAAAACATTGTTCATTCAGCTGTAGTATAGCTTCTGGTTGGCTCTAGGAAATCTCAGTGCAATAGGTATATAGAAAAAGGGAACATGAATATCCTGTAAATATTCTCAAGTGTAATTAAAGCTTTGGCTTCAATCACCCCTGCCCAAATCATTTAATGCACTGGCAGCTGGAGCAGGAGGGAGAAGGATAGTGCCTTGGATGCCAGTACGGTGCAGCACTCTTTGCCTTCAGCCTGGGCTTGGAAACTGCCTAATATTCTGATGAAATTATTTTCTTGCCAATATAATTCTGTCCTCACCCAGAACATTCTACAAGGTACATTAAGTAATCTAGATGTTTTCCCCTAGTCAATGTTGTAATAGGACCGGTGGGAAAGTTTCTGATTTAAATTGTTCCATATTTTGCTTCAGAGTAGAAGAACTGGAGGAATAGTACTTTGAAGCTGGACAATGAACAATATTCCCTCTAAGCTGCATGGGTGCACGCTGCTGTATTGTTGCCGGAAACCTGCAGTTAGTATTGCTGCTCATTTTGTTCCGGCTGCAGCCAGAACTCTGCATGCCCTGAGTGGGGTTTCCACTCAGTGTTGGTTGAAAATTAGTGGGAACACTGACTGTGAATCTAAAAAATCAAAGCCAGTACATTTAATTTAGCTAAGCAGTAATAAATTTGGGCATTACAACATACATTGTTAGGAATATAAGGCATCTTTCTATCATTAGAATAGTAATACAGTACTGGCCAAAAATATTGGCACCCTTGCAATTCTGTCAGAAAATGCAACCCTTCTCTCAGAAAATTGGTGCAGTTGCAAATGTTTTGGTACTCACGTGTTCATTTTTTTTGTTTGCGTTGGAACAACTCAAAAAAAAAAACACAGAAGAAAAGTCAAATCTGATACAATCCCACACAGAAACCCAAAAATGCACTGGCCAAAATTATTGGCACCCTGTCTAAATTGCAAGAAATAATTGCTTGTCAAGCATGTGATGCTCCTTTAATTTGTATTTGGACACACCTGTCACAAGTAGGAGGTGCAGGCAATGTAGTAATAGTAATCACACTTGCAAGCACAGTAAAGATGGAGAAAAGTTGACTCAACCTTTGTGTTGTGTGTGACACTGAGCATGGAGAAAAGAATGAAGTGTAAAGAGTTTGAGAGAAAAAATTGTGGGAAAACATAGACAATTTCAAGGGTACAAGTCCATCTCCAGAGATCTTAATGTTCTTGTGTCCACTGTGTGCAATATCATCAAGAAGTTTACAGCCCATGGCACTGTAGCTAACCTCCCTCGGCGTGGATGGAAGAGCAAAATTCCTGAAAAATTACAACAAAGGGTTGTTCGAACAGTGGATACAGAACCCAGATTAACTTCCAAAAAAATTCAAGCTGATCTGCAGACACAGGGTACAACAGTGTCAGCTCGCACTATCTGTCGCCATCTGAATGAAAAGGGACGCTATGGTAGGAGACCCAAGAGGACACCACTGCTTACACAAAGGCATAAAAAAGCAAGACTGGAGTATGCCAAAACTTATGGGACAAAACCACAATCCTTCTGGGAGAACATACTGTGGACAGATGAGACAAAAGGAGATCTTTTTGGTCATCATGGCATGGTTCACAGAAAGAGAAATGAGGCATTCAAAGAAAAGAACACAGTCCCTACAGTCAAACATGGTGGAGGTTCAAAGATGTTTTAGGGTTGCTTTGCTGCTTATGGCACTAGATGCCTTGACTGTGTGAATGGTATCATGAAATCTGATGATTATCAAGGAATTTGGAGGTGCAACACAGTGGCCAGTGTCAGAAAGCTGCGTCTCCACCAGAGATCATGGATCTTCCAGCAGGACAATGACCCGAAGCACACTTCAAAAAGCACTCAGAAATGGTTACAAAGCGCTGGAGAGTTCTGAAATGGCCACCAATGAATCCAGATCTGAATCCCATAGAACACCTGTGGAGAGAACTCAAAACAGTAGTTAGGAGACGGCATCCTTCAAATCTGAAGGCCCTGGAGCAGTTTTCAAAAGAAGAGTGGTCCAAAATTCCAGTAGAGAGGTGTAAGAAACTCATTCATGGTTACAGGAAGCAATTGATTTCAGTTATTTTTTCCAAAGGGGGTGCTACCAAATTAAGTGCCAATATTAAGTGTGCCAATAATTTTGGCCAGTGCATTTTTGGGTTTCTGTGTGGGATTGTATCAGAGTACCAAAACATTTGCAACTGCACCAATTTTCTGAGAGAAGGGCTGCATTTTCTGATAGAATTGCAAGGGTACCAATATTTTTGGCTATGACTGTAGTTGTCCAAATAAAATGACAATTATACTTTTCAACTTTGCCATAAAAAAACACACCAGGAGATTAGAACATGTGTGAAAATACATATCCACTTCAGCAGTGAATACAGAATTGGGAATGAGTTAATATACTGTATTAAAATAGAGTAAGAACACCCAGCACATAATCTAACATGAATAAGGGGCTGTTTGTAAGTTATCCCCAGGTCTCACCTTGTCAGGAATATTCTTGCTCAACATTAGAGGAAAGATCCGTTCATGGAGTAACTGTTCTCGTGCATATTTATTGTTACAGCCATACATGAAGATATTATTCTTCCGACTGTGTCCATGAAAATCACAATACAGCAGAATTTCCCGTTCCTCAAGGACTCTTGTAAAGAAGTACAAGCACAGAAACAAGGAGTCAATCACATATGTAAATCTCTGTATACAGATAATTGTGCTCTGTGTTTCCTTTCTATTCAACTGGAACAGTGGTTCTTAACCTTGGGTTACTCAGGTGTTTTTGAACTGCAACTCCCAGAAACCCCAGCCAGCACAGCTGGTGGTGAAGGCTTCTGGGAGTTGCAGTCCAAAAACATCTGAGTAACCCAAGGGTAAGAACCACTGAACTGGAAGATTCAAGCAGTCAGGACATGTTAAATTAAAAATCCCAATTGACTGAAATTTCTTGAACTAAGTCTCTGTTCACAAGCTCTTCACAAATTATTTTTGATAAATGAGGAAGCTGCTCCTAAATACCAGTGACCATTATGTCAAGACCCATGCCTACAAAATGTAGCTGCAAATTCAATGTGCTCCCAATATTTAAAAAAGAAAAAAACACAAAAACACACACACACAACACCTGCTGAAATAACACCGGCCCACTGACAGATGTTCTCACAGCCTTAGTGGTTGTCCATTAGTGTTGCCCTTGAATTAATAATCACAAACCACTGATCATCATATGCCACTTGCATCTTGCATGAACACAACAGTAACATCATCTCAGAGACCACAGTCCTCCCTTTTCAGAACCTTCCACTGACCAGCCAACTCCTTAGCACATAGTGCATACATAGTGCACATACGCACACGCACGCGCACACACACACATACAGACACCCGGAGATCTGAAACAAAGGTTGTTGATGCACATACGCACGCGCACGCGCACACACACACATACACACACCCGGAGATCTGAAACAAAGGTTGTTGCGTGAAATGCTCCTATTCGCAGTTCTAGCCAGTCAGCCATGCACTCTTTCAAAATATTCCATTCCATTCTTCTGTCACTCTACACTATCCTGTTTTTTTTTAATTACCCTCTGTTTCATTTCATCTGCTCTAAGCATATCCACCAAGTATTCCACACCCACTAAGCATCTTAGTACCCATGCTTTGGTGTCAAACACACTTCCTTGCGATTCTTTTTCTAAACTTTCTTTATTTCTACTTCAGCTGATCATGGAGTTCCTGCAAGCCTACTGATACCTTTCCTCCTATGTACAGGTGGATCTATTTTGGCTACATAACGCTGCATGGGTGAAGGAAATTCACTTCCTATAACTGTAAAAATAATATTAAGCTTGTTTACACACTACTCTTCACTCAGTGGGAGAGGGCGTTTCACACATACACAGGCAATCGTTCTATCCATGATTTCCTTTATGCCCTAGGATTCACATGTTCTGAGTCCTGCCAGAAACAGCTTTTGTAATAAAACTGCCAGACTCATTCCTAGAATTTGGAAAAGTACAAACTTTAATTTGTAACTCTGTTTTCCTACTGCTTCTTCATCCAAAAGCAGAGGACTAGTTCTCTTTGTTGTACTTAAAGACCAATTAGACAGATAGAAAAGAACCAAGCTTTCTGATACTATTCCCAGGTTATCTCATAACAGTGTGTTATTACAATATTACTTATATATATACCCTGTCTTTCCACTACTAGTTAGTGCTCAAGGCAACTTATAGTCATATGAAATAGTAAAAAGCAATACAAAGAGAAAATCCAACCACAGAATAATCAAAATCATATAAAAAGAACATAAAATTAATTCAAATCAACAAACCATTACAAATCACTACAATAAATGAAACATAAACCAGTTCTTTAGAATCTGTTCACACCTCTGAAGTGAGTGCTTTCCACAGTTTGAGATCCACACAGCAGGAAGCCCTCTCCTGCATGCCTATCTGATGACCTCCACAACTGTCAATATATTCAAGAGGGCCTCTCCTGAAGATCTAAAGATCTGTACAGGTTCATAATGAGACAAGAAGTCACTTAAATAATTAGGTCCCAAGCCATGTAGGGCTATGAAGGTTAAAACTAGCACCTTTAATTGAATGCAGTAAGTAACCTGCAATCAGTACAAGTCTTTAAGTATTGACATAATATAATCTCAATGCTATACACGAACTGGCCACCTGGATTCTGCTTATTGAACCAAATTAAGATTCTGGATCCTCTTTAAGAGTAGGCCTGCACAGAATGCATTGTAGCAATCAAGACAGGAGGTAATAAAGGCATGGATGACTGTTGCCAAATCAGTTTATCATCTATACTTTGATATCTACCCTGTTTCCGCTAAAATAAGACCTAACCTGAAAATAAGCCACAGGATGATTTTTCAGGATGCTTGTAATGTAAGTCCTACTCCAAAAATAAACCCTAGTTAAGTGAAACCTCACCCTCCACCGTTGTGCAGCAACCAGAAGAGGACATGACTGCATTTGAATAAATGTACAGTGGTGCCTCGCTAGACAGTTACCCCACATGACAGTTTTTTCACTAGTCATTGACTTTTTGCAGTCGCTATAGCAATTCGCAATACAGTGATTCCTGTGGGGGAATTTCGCTGGACAATGTTTGGTCCCTGCTTCGCAAGCCGATTTTCACTAGACGATAATTTGCTTTTCGCTAGACAATGATTTCACTAAACAGCAATTTCAGTGGAACGGATTATCATCGTCTAGCGAGGCACCACTGTAGATTGTTGTACATGACAAAAATAAAATGTCCCCTGAAAATAAGCCCTAATGCATTTTTGGAGCAAAAATTAATATAAGACCCGGTCTTATTTTCGGGGAAACAGCATAGCTGTTAATCCATAGCACAGAACTAATTTCCTCCCATCCAACCATGCCTCTCCAAAATTTCCACTTGATGCACAATCATTGTTTTGGGCTCTTTTTTGCAATGAACCTTGCCAGACTGCTTCCCCAAAATAATCTAAATCCTGTATTCCCCTTTATGCAAATAAAATGTTTTATTTACAATATATTGACATAAAAATCTATAACTACAGAAACATACATTCAAAAATATGGCATAATTGTCTTTCTTTTGCAGTCCTCAGTCCAACCCATTCCAGCATGGAGATCCACTTAATAAAATGCTTCATCACTCACCTCTTGATCATGGCCCGAGTGTGCCAAATGCAAGGGAAGGATTCCCTTAATTCAGACCTGTAGTTCCTGTTCAAGTCTCTTCCTGCTAATGAGCAACGGTAATTCCCTACAATTACTCCATCTGGGTTTAGCATGGGTACAACTTTGAATATAAAAAGATCCCGAAGAAGCTGAGCATCTGCGGAGTCACTTAAGATGAAATCAAGGAAGCCTCTCATCACCCATGAACTGTTGGGCTCCCCAGGATGGACCCTAGCAGTTAGCACAACTGCTTTCTTTGCTGCAGCAGCAATGGCACTTTTTGATGGGTTGGTAATTGTGAGGAGGTAGACTGTGTTTCCAGCCAGACTGTTGCATAGAGGGCGAAGTTTGCAATGCTGAGAGCGGTGCGGATTGTTGACCAATGTAAAGAGGTAGCGCTGTAGATCTGAATAGGTGTAGGGGTAGAAGTGAGCAAAGTAACATGTGTCATGACTGTGTGGAAAACACACAGTCCAGGTAAGACAATAGAGTGCCTGACCATCCTCTGTGGTATATTTGTAATATTTGATGTCACTGCCCTCTCTCCTCCAGCCAACACCATGAGATTTAGCATCCTTCTCAGAATACAAGAGAGGCTTCATCCCTGCACTGTAGAGACTCTTGGCTTTCATCAGATTAACGATAGTGAAGCGATAGGTGACATTCTTTCTAGTGTTTTGCATTCTGAAGTAGTACCATTGCGTGTGCTTGCTTGTGTAAAGATCTGTCCTCAGTGTGAGTTCATATTCATATTCACCTCTAAAATGTAGCAATCAGGAAAAAAAGCATTAGAAGCCAGCAGCATACTCTTTCCTCCACAGAACTACTAAGCGCCATGTCACCAAGGTTTTACAGACAATAATTTCACTTCATTAAATGAGAAGTATCAGGGCTGATATTGTTATGGGTTCCTATTACAGAAACCTACGTTTGAGATCAGGCAAAAGATCATACTCAATGAAGATAACATTTTATTAAGACAACAAGGAGACACTCATTAGGCCGATTAGGAAGAAACCTAGTTTGGCGGCGGACGAAATTGGCAATTATGGGCCCGTCGCCAATGTTTCTTTCCTAAGCAAGGTAGTCGAGAGGGTGGTGGCTGATCAGCTGCAAGCACATTTGGATGAAACAGATGCCCTGGATCCATTTCAGTCGGGCTTCAGGCCGCGCCATGGTACGGAGACGGCATTGGTCGCCCTGTACGATGACTTGTTGAGGGAGGCCAACAGAGATAAAATATCTGTGTTGGTCCTCCTTGACATCTCGGCGGCCTTCGATACCGTCAACCACGGTATCCTCCTGGGGAGGATCTCCGAGTTGGGTATCGGTGGCCTGGCTTTGGCCTGGTTCCGCTCCTTCTTGGAGGACCGTCCTCAGAGAGTTCAGCTTGGGGAGAGTGTCTCGGCCCCGTGGAGCCTCAAATGTGGGGTTCCACAGGGGTCGACTTTCTCCCCAATGCTGTTTAACTTCTATATGAGGCTGTTGGGTGGGGTCATCAGGGGGTGTGGAGCATCGTGTCATCAATATGCTGATGACACCAGCTCTACATCTCCTTTTCACCAACTGCAGGTGATGCCGTCCTGTCCCTCCAGCGCTGCCTGGAGTCCGTACTGCAATGGATGCCGGAGAACGGGTTGAGGCTGAACCCGGACAAGACAGAAGTTCTGAGGGTGAGTGGCCCTGTGGCCCGTGGCTTAGGTGACTCTCTCTCGTTCGGGGGGTGACCCTGGCCGCGAAGAGTGGGGCCTGCAGCCTGGGGGTACACCTGGACCTGACGCTTACCATGGAAACACAGGTGGCGTCGGTAGTCCGTACCGCCTTTTTCCATCTTTGGCAGATTGCCCGGCTGCGACCTTACTTAGACACGTGGGCGCTCACTACTTTAGTACTCGCACTTGTAATCTCTAGATTAGACCACTGTAACACGCTCTACGTGGGGCTGCCTTTGAAGCTGACGCGGAAACTTCAGGTGGTGCAGAATGCAGCGGTCAGTCTCCTTACTGGAGTGAGGAAATACCAACATATCTCTCCTACTCTGACCAGGCTACACTGGCTGCCCATCCGTTTCCGCGTTGACTTTAAAGTGTTAATGCTTACAAAAAAGGCCCTAAATGGTTTAGGACCTCGATACTTGGCGGAACGCCTACTCCCACCTAGATCTACTCGGATCACCCGCACGAGCCAGGAGGTGAGGCTGAGGAGCCTAACGCTGAGGGAGGCCCGGAAGGAAAGGACACAAAATCGGGCCTTCTCGGCGGTGGCTCCTCACCTCTGGAATAACCTTCCTCCGTCGATTCGTGCGGCCCCTACGCTGGGCACTTTCAAGAGTCAATTAAAAACATGGTTATATGTTCAGGCCTTCCCTCCGGTCAATATTTAACTTTTTTTTCTTTTCTTTTTCGTTTCTTTCCTTATTTGTTTTATTATTGGATGTGTTTCGACTAATATTCTTATGTTTTATTTTAAATATTTTATTGGAAGCCACCCAGAGTGGTCGACCAGACCAGATGGGCGGGATATAAATCAAATAAATCAAATAAATAAACAAACAAACAATATATTTGGAAGTGAGGAAAAATTAGTTCTGACTATAATGACTCATGTACATAGGTGGAAGTAAAGCTTGAGCATTTCAGTATATAGGAAACAACACAGCAGACAGTTCAAAGAGAGAATGATATAGGGTTCCCTTATAAGCACACAGAGACTTATGCATGTTGGGCTGTACATTTCTCCATCTTCAACAAGCTTGCAGCAGCTGATTATTAGGAGATGTAAAATGCAGAGTACGTTCTCTTGATCCATTATAAAAACTTCAAAGAGGTAGTTCTGTTAGTCCATTTCAACATTTATCACACACATTTTAAAAAGTCTTGTAGAGTTTTATGGGGAGCAGAATGCACAGAAAAACTTCAAAATTTACAATGTAGCAATGCTTTTATTAAAACTAAACAAAATGTCAAAAAGTGGAGAGAAAGCTTTCAGATTCCCCAGAAGTCTTAACTGGGCTGGATGTTAACTAAAGCAAGGGAGTAGGGAGAAAATAAGATGCTAAAAATGAATTTATGTTGAAGCTCCTGCATTTACTCATGACAGATCCATAAACTGAGATTTCTTGCTCAAAGCCACATAGGCTGGCTCCTATAAGGCAATGGTCCCCAACCTTGGGCCTCCAGATGATCTTGGACTACAACTCCCAGAAGCCTTCATTACCACCTCTGCTGGCCAGGATTTCTGGGAGCTGAAGTCCAAGTACATCTGGAGGCCTAAGGTTGGGGACCACTGCTATAAGGCACAATAAGAGAATCAAATGTCCAACCCTTCAATGCACAGCCAGAGGTTCCGACTCTGTGCTTGCAGCTATTCACAACAGAATTTACACTAATGGTGTTACATCAGTGTAAAGCTCCTGGTCCCAGATAGCCCCTGACATTGTTTATTTTCAGTTCCTCTTACTCACACCCTGACAGCTTTCTGGAGATTCCCACTCTCAAAGCGTGATTCAAACAACAGTGTAGTATCTTCTGGATCTCTTAAACTGACTGCAGCTGACGTGATGGGCTCCCTTGACCCTCCAACTCGAGAACCAGTGAAACAGGTACCCTTGGTTGCTGCAAAAGAAGAGGTATGGCTATCAACACAGAATTACAAATCTTAATCTTAGTAACTATGTTTGTATACTAATTCCATAAAAGCCCTAATGCAAAATGATTAGCAAATAGTGAATTTCTTATGAACAAAACTCACTGAAAATTGGTTCCAGAAATATAAGGGGACTTCGGTTTGGCCTTCTCTGTTGCAGTTTTCTAAGAACTAGGCAAAACTCAAACCACTGTTCTTGTACAAGTGTTCTCTCATGACACTTAAGAACCAAAACACACATTATAAGGCAATGTGTGCAACGCTCAGTGGCCCCTTTCAGGTCCTGAACTGATCGATAGAAAGTATGTAAGTGAAATAAATGAATAAACCAATATATAGACACTTCCCCAACAAATTGCTTAAATCAAGTGCATTTACCAGAGGGTGCTTCTATAAAATCACATAGTCTTGTCAGGGTGATTTTTGGTTAAGACAAAATATATTTATTTCAATTTACCAACTTATGTTTATGAGTCACTGGAGTATTGTCAAAAATTTTATTTTGTTCTGTGGCAAGTTGGATGATTGCTCTTTAAATTCATATTCACTATTCAATTATTTATAACAGTTTTTAGGGCGATTAAAATTCGGTTTAAGGTTGTTTTCAGTTTAGTTTTTATAGGCTTGCTCAATGGATGTAATGTTATATACTACATATATAATTATCAGTACTGTATAATGTCAGCCTATGTATACAAATACCTGGGTCTATAGAATAGACAACAGTTCCACAATCTTCTCCCACTACACTTGGTGCAAATTCATTTCCCGTTGGCTGATAAAAAGATTCTGGTTCAGGGGGAACCCACTCTAAAAAAAACACAAAATGGCATATATTTATTATTGTATCAGTTCAAAACAAAACAAAAATAAAAAATAAAGGAGACAAAAATGTTGTGGCACCTTAGAGACTCAACCGCTATATTCTAATATGACAAGTCATGGATAAATCCACTTCCTCAGACTTACTACTACTACTTATCATCATCATCATCATTTTACACACAGCCTTTCCTTCCTCCAGCAAACTTAAAACAGTGTGTGGATTTTCACTCTCAGTGCACTGTATTTCCAATATCAATTTTAAATCATTACCACTCCAAAGATAGTTTGTGAAGTGATAATGTTTACAGTGGTGCCTCGCTAGATGATTGCCTCATGAGACGAAAAACCCGCAAGACGATTGTTTTTTGCGATCACTATGGTGCCTTGCAAGACTTTTTTTCTATGACCATGCTTCGCAAGATTTTTTTTTGAGACCGATGGTTCGCAAGATTTTTTTTAGACTGATGCTTTGCAAGACTTTTTTTTTGAGACCGATGCATAGGGAACCTTGCAAGATGTTTTTTTCATAAGACGACGATTTTCGTGGAACGAATTAAAATCATCTTGCGAGGCACCACTGTATAAGTAAACCAAAAGAATGAATGCAACAAGAATACATAAATTATAAAAGCTGTATATCCTATACAATGGAACAGAATCTGGATGAAGGAAGCAGACAAATATTAAAAAACATACTTCCAAGTGGAATAAGAATAATCAATACAGATTCTAAAAGAAGAGTTTCCTAGGAACTTGTTTCACAAACATTTCATTAGAGGTCATTGTGAAAGGAATAGGATACTGAAATTCACAGACTAACACAAAGCTGTGAAATAATATATAAACATAAATGAAAATCAATCAGATAAGCTCATTAATTCATCCAGTGCAGCAAAAAAAATGAATGACATTCAACAGGAAGCTCAAGACCAGACATATGGGAACAAATGGGGTCATAAACTATAAAGCATAGGTTTTCACGGCCAGGATCTGATGGTTGTTGTAGGTTTTTCAGGCTGTTTGGCCATGTTCTAGAGGTTTTTCCTCCTAACGTTTCGCCAGTCTCTGTGGCTGGCATCTTAAGAGGACAGGAGCTAGTAAAATTCCAATGGAAGACATCATTGCCAATGTGGAATCAGCCATATACCATCTTCCGGAAGAAAAAGGAGAAGAAATAAGAGGTGAAGTGACAAGGATCCTACAAAAAGCAAAAACCCCGAACAGCAACATAACAAAAAAGGAGAGAAACACTATCAAGTCCCTAAACTCAGATCCTGACACCATCATTCTGCCAGCCAACAAAGGCAACGCAAGAGTAATCACGCAAACAGAAGAATACAAGGACAAAATCAGGGAACTTCTAGACCCCACCACCCACAGAAAACTGAAACAGGACCCAATGAACAAAATCACAAAACTAACATGCTGATCAGGAGTTCCTTCCTACACCCCAATGTCCTTCAGTGAATCTGCAAGACCAGAAGCTCTCCCACTAAGACTATACAAACTCCCCAAAATCCACAAAGACTCAATCCCACTCAAACCCAAAAATTGGCAGTAGCTGAACATGCCATGAAACAAGCTGGACTTGAAATTCTATTTCAAAATACAGAAATACTGAACAACACCAGCAATCATTATGTTAGACTACACAGGGAAGCCATTGAAATCCACAAGCATCAGCACAGCTTCAACAAAAAAGAAGAAAGTCTAAAACGCAACAAAGTCGGGCTACCAGCAATGAAAAATCCAGCCTGCAAGAAGGTCAACAAACTCTCCCCAGCCACAAGGACCAGTTAACACTGCACACAAAAGACTACCTAATGACACCCATCAATCATAGTGACAGATCATCTTCCCCCCTTATCACAACAATACACCCATAGCAAAAAACACCCTGATCACCATAACCACCCAATCTCCTGAATAGGACAAAAAGCTGATCCCACAGCTACAAATACTCAACTATCCCAACATACTACACTAGAACACGGAGTTCTAACTCTTGTCCTCTGAAGATGCCGGCCACAGAGACTGGTGAAACTTTGGGAAGAAAAACCTTCAGAACACAGCCAAACAGCCCAAAAAAACCTACAACAACTGAACTATAAAGCACTTAACAGTCTAGGAATCCACTACTGGGCAGAATCTTTCTCCAACAAAATAGACATCTTCAGAGGACAGCACTTTGAAGATGCCGGCCACAGAGACTGGTGAAACGTTAGGAAGAACAACCTTCAGAACATGGCCAAAGAGCCCAAAAAACCCACAACAACCATTAGATCCCGGCCATGAAAACCTTCACGAATACATCAAAATAGCTAGTGGTCCCACAGTACTTAATGTCCCTTGTAGTACTTGATGTTAAGCACTGTAATACCCAAGGAAGCAACAACAACAAAAAAGCAACACTAGGAACTGAGCTTTCAGTGTCATGGCCCCTTCCCTCTGGAATAAACTTCCTACAGAGGTTTGCCAGGCACCATCCCTGTGTTTGCAGGAAGCTAATTAAAACTAATTTATATAAAGCTGCCTTCTACAAATGTAAATATTGTCCTGAGATGCTCAAAGAGTTTTTAACATACATTTTTATTTAAAGGGAGTTTTAGCTAGCGACATTGTTTATTGTATTTTATTGTATTTTTTATATTTACTACCTGGTGTTTTTGTTGTATGGTTTTATAGTATATTGTGCACCACCCAGAATGTGATAACATTAATAGGGCAGTATAGAAATGGAAATAATTAATAAACAAATACTGAACTGCAATAGTTCTGGATTCTCATATATAAATACTGCTAGTCACAGATTTTTATAATATGACCTTTTGGACATAAATACTGACTTCTGAGTCAGAACAAGCAACATGTGAAGAGGCCTATTTAATCAAAACGTCTAAGGAAAGTGGTGGTTTCAACCTAGAACAAATTTAACACAATTGGGAACCTTTTCCCCTAGAGTTCTGCATAATTTGGATAGGTATTTTAAAAGCATTCTGAAAAGTGTTTGAATATTATATATTTTTTGTCAGACAGGCTGTTAAATTTTCAGCAGCTCTGCTGTATGAATTTATGTTAAAGAGAACAAATTCTTTAGTGATAGTCCCTGTACAACTAGTCCACTTTACAGGAAAAATGTATCCTTGCAAAACATTACTCCTAGTCCAAGACTCTGATTACCAATGTGGTGAATACTGTCTTCAATTACTTCACACTCAACTGGCCAGAGAGGAGCCAAAATTGAATCTCTAGTACTAGGAATAGAAAAAAGATTCCGAGGTTCCCGCAAGCGCAGAACATGAGGGTCCTCCAGATGGTTGCATGTAACCTGCTTGCTTTTAATTAATGGTTTTTCTGTTACAAGTGAACCTGTCAAAAATACAAATGAGAAAGTGTTATGTCCAGGCAGCTATGTAGGTTTAAACATACATTTCCTTTTTTATAAAACCAATATATTACTTGCATCTAGTTCAGGGGTTACTTACAGGGTGAGTTCTTGTCCAAATTGTGTTCTGATCTAGTTCTCTTCTGGATGCTACCTGGCTTCAAGCAAGAGCAGTTTTTCCTCCTCTCAAGGGGTAAAGTGTGGTTTTGGGGAGCATTTTCCTCACCTAAAATAAACATTTTTAGTATTATTGCAGACGTCTAATTGCACAAGCCATTTAGATCTAATTTGAAGAAATGAAAGTGTCCATTGCTGAGCTCATATGAGACATTATATTGATACTGCAAAATAAGACAAATAATATTTTAAAACTAAAACTGCATTGCCAGGGCCATCTCAGTGGTATAACTAATAGGAACAACCATCAGTATCATCTCATGACAGGGAGGGATTATGTCAGTGGTTCTCAACCTTGGTTAACCCAGGTCTTCTTGGATTGCAGCTCCCAGAAGCCTTCGTCACCAGCTGTGCTGGCCAGGGTTTCTTGGGGGTTGCAGTCCAAGAACACCTGGGTTACCTAAGGTGGGAATCACTGGACTATGGTTGGGAATCACAGGACTATGTCAATTTAAATACATACGTAACTGATATCAGATTAGACAGCAAAAGTTGGTAAATCTGTGACCCTATGCAAAACTACTTGTAAGGAGACTTACTTTAGATCATTGGATACCACCCTTGGGTAATTCAGTTGTTTTTGGAATGCACCACTAGCTGTGCTGGCTGTTGTTTCCAGGAGTTGCAGTCCAAAAACACCTGAGTTACCTAAGTTTGGAAATCATTGTTTTAGATTATTTACTATGGTATAAGGAAGAAAAAGACTCTTGTGCTTTACATTGCGCAGCACTAAGTTATAATGTCAATACTGCTGTTTTCTGCAGTGCTATTATCCTCCCTGTACCTTTTAAACTTAAACAAAAAGCTGTCTGAAGTGCATCAGTCCTTTCACATACCAGAAACAGGCAACAATGTCACAAGATAAAATTAAAGTGTGAAGACATACAATAAACCTGCAAAATAATTATTTGTTACACAGCCTGACAGATGCAATAATGAGCTGCATTAGAAAAAAATTCTCACCTCTGAAGTATCCATAGTACTGGAGGTGTTGATACATGAATTTTTCATATGGCTCTTTAATCTGCTTTTGGGGGAAAATGCAGCACTGTTAGAAAGCCAGCATGTTTCACCTGAGTCTTATTTCCCAAAGCCTTTCCATTATTTCTTCATACAAAAGCAAACAATAAAAACACCAAGTGGCAATTATAAGACCCAAAGCCAAATCTCTGGTCATACCTACTTTTGGGCTTGAAATAGTTTCTTAATGTCAGTTACACACAAAATGCAAAGATCCTCCTGTTCGTCCTGTCCCACTTACATCCCTCAATCTTAATGGTCCAGGCTCTTCTGCCATCCCACTAATACTCAGTGCCATTCCAGCACTGAACTAGAATCACCTTCAAAGGATCAAAAGTCAGTGATTTCATCCAGCCCCTTATGCATTTGTTTGCAATTTTATACTGTACTGACCTGACTCTCAGAACTTGGGTCTGCTGGACACATGCTGCTGATCTTGGAATGGTTCAGTCTGAAGCCCCTTATAGAAAACCAGAAATAAGAGTTATAGAAGAGGAAGCTTATTAACTAGTCTTATTTTTTTGTCTTGCAAGAATATTCTCCCCCAATCCCCTTCTCTGCTGCAACTGCTATAAGATCACCCACCAACTGTATTAGGCACTGGCTGCAGGGTGGAGGGATGATAACAGCAAATTGGGGTTAGGGCAAAGATGGGACAAGGATATTAGTTATAATTACAGAATCATAGACTAAATGAGTCTGAAGGGTCCTATAAGGACATCAAGTCCAACCCCCTGCTCAGTGCAGGAATACAAATCAAAACAGATCCATTTTTCTCTTAAATGCGTCCAGCGTTGTCCACCTCACATGCTTCCGGGAGGCTCTTTCCGTGACTCCAAAAATAGAGGTGAAATTGGAAGAATAAATTAGTTTTTTGAAGGGGAACCGCTAACCTATGGGGAACCCTTTTACCAAGTTAAATAATACAAAATAAGATAAAAATATTTTATACTGCTATAGAGTCATTCACCCAAAACGCCCGGCAACTTGCTGTGATGAGGACGACTTTGACCGGCAGGACTGAAAGGCTTCTATGGCGACCACATTGTCACTCACAACAAAACACCTTCCTCAAAGCACGAAAGTTTACGCGCGCCTACAATTCTCACAACCACCGCCGGGACAGGCTGGCTGGCTGGCTGTCTTTTGGTTAACAACTGACCTAACTACACTCGCTCAAATTCAGAACAGGACATTCCGACAGGGAAAAAAAAACTGGCCCGCCCAGAGAAGGCGGCCAAGGACAGCGGCGGGCATTATTCCACATACGCGACACCCGCCATCACCTCACTTATCGCCCACCTCCCGCTCTTTCCCTTTCCCCTCCATTTCCTCTGTGGGGGAAAATCATCGCCTAGCAACCAGCTGCACCAATCTCTTCCTCTTGGGGGAGGTACTTACTTGTTCATTGGTCTGTCAATGCGGAGTGGCAGCCATACAAGCCATTGCCTGAAGAAGCAAGGGCTACTGATAAAAAAAAAAAAAGCAAGTCCTGCCGTTTGTCAGTTTGAGGTGGTGGGGACCGCCGGGCGTTTGGGTTTATCCTGGAACTCGCAAGTTCAGCTTAGTAACAGTGAACCAGTCGGTGCACGCTTTTGTTTTAAGGACAACCGAGGTTTGTTGTCCGCGCGTCGGTGTGTTAACGTATGAAATATGCACACGCTTTACGGTCGTAAAACGTCTTTGATTATATGGGTCTTACTATATTTAACAGAAGATGCCGCCAAGGTCTTCTATCTGTGTTCACCTCAGATGTACCAGTACTCAGGAGAAGAGAATTAATCCTGCAGTGAAAAATTGCTCAGTGTGCGAGACTGACTTCGAAAAAACCCGGGGGTTACGTAGCATCCGCTGAATTGACTAACCTGGTCCCCTCCGTTACTTCTCTTCATCACATAACTAGCTGATGTTGTAGGCAGGGATGTGTATATCAGGTTTATTTTGTGTTTAAACTTAAAGCCAAGCAAAGCGTGCTGCTTCTATACCGCCCCATAGCTCTTAATGCACTTTCTGGGCGGTTTGCAAGTTAATTATGCAGGCTACACATTGCTCCCCCCCCCAAGCTGATTAGTCATTTTACCGATAGAAGCCAGAGTCGAACTTGAACCCGCTACCTGGGATTGAACCACCAGGGTCCTGAGCAGTTTTGGCCGCAGCACGGCAATTTCACCACTGTGCCACAAGGTCCCTAACACATTACTTTGCAATAATGTACAGGTAGATTGCTACTAAAACTCAACTCCTAAAGACAAGGATGAGCTGGCTACAACTGAGAATTAAAGTACCAAATCAAATCATGGAACAAACTGTACCCATGTTATACTGCAAGAGGGATTATTTTTTATTTGTTTTACCCTGCCTTTCTTCTAAGAGAGGACCCAAGGAAGCATAAATAATTAAAGCACAATATTAAAGCTAAAAAGTGAATTATTCAAATATTAAATTGATAATGTTATGCTAAGAATATTAGATGAACATTAATAAATAGATTTAGAAGCAACAAAATACAAATCCTATCATTTAAAAACGTCTCCTAGCCAGGCTGTCACTAAAGAAAAGCCTGCCTGAAGAGAAAGTTCTTTGCTTGTTTGAGGAAGAACAGCAAAGATGGTGTCTGCTGGTTTCCTGTGGGAGGGAGTTCCAAAGTCTGGGAGCAGCAACAGAGAATGCCACCTCCCATGTCCCCACTAGGCATGCCTGTGAGAGTGCTGGGACCAAGAGGAAGGCTCTCCTGATTATCTTAACACCCAAGCAGGTTCATCATGTGAGAAGCACTCTTTGAGAAAGCCCAGACTTAAGCCATTTAGGGCTTTATAGGTTAGAACCAGCACTTTATGCCTGGAAAGGAATTGCCAGCCCGTGGAGCTGCTTAACAGTTATGTGATCCTTGTAAACAATCTGGCTGCAGGATTTTGGACCACTGAAGTTTCTGAACACTTTGCAAAGAATGAGGTGAGTTTCAAAGTCGTTCTTGTCAACATGGTAGAAGAGTGTTCCAAAACAGTTGCTCAGTGCCACATTGCATGTGTAGATCAGTCCTCAAACCACACAGGATAAGGAAAGTCTTCTGGGGCCAAACAAGGAAAGAAGCTGAGGCTGCAGATCTTTCATAGTATTCCCCATGTTGCTTTAAAGGAGTCCATGTGGACAGAAATGGATAAGGAAAAACGGACTTTGGGGTGTTAATTTCTCCATCTCTTTCAATTCGAATGTATCACTGTCAGTGTTATCCCCCAGGGGAACTCATGCAGGCATTATTGGAGCTCTGCTCCCCATTCTTATGGTGGCAAAGCTGTGCCTACATAATTATAGTAACAGTGGATTAGTTCTATTCAGTTTGCATTTATGGCCTGGTTGAATAAGTGTCATACTTATTTGCCAAGGGAGGCAATCACCACTTTTTCCAGTTTTGTTTCTGAAGTGCTGAAAGCTTCAGATTTGTACTGTCATATGAGATGTACTAGTAGTAAATGAAATCAATACTGTATATGTTTTTGTCTCCTAGATTGGACTTAATAATTATAGCATGTTCCTGCTAGACAGGAATCAGTACACAGTTGAAGCAAACAACTCCCTGCAAAAGGGAGATGTCACAAAATCCCTGGAAGACTTCACACATAGTGGACTTTTCTCAAATGAACCAATCAATAAGATCCTAATTACAATTATTTGAAATTTTCTGGAAGAAATAACATGTTATCACAGTAATTTGAGATAGTGCAAAGTATCTTCAAAAGATATGAAAAATTCCACCTAGTCATAATTACATGAATGTTATTAGAATGTATGGGCAATCACAGAGCCAGATTCAGCCTATTTATTTTTCACTATAAAAGCAAATGATGACAATTAAGTATGCAGTGGGATAAAAAACTAGGAAACAGCATTGACTTTGGACAATGGTGCAAAACAGAAGAGCCTCGTGGCGCAGTGGTTAAAACGCTGTACTGCAGCTAAAACTGTGCTCACGACCTGGGGTTCAAATCCCAGGTAGCCGGCTCAAGGTTGACTCAGCCTTCCATCCTTCCGAGGTCGGTAAAATGAGTACCCAGCTTGCTGGGGGGGCAATTGACTTGGACAATGGTGCAAAACAGATATTTGTGTAATTCCAGGCAACTGTAAAGTGGAACAAAGAGCTGCTTGTTGACACCCAGATTATTCCATCCAGAATCTCTGAGTTAAGTGTTTAACTAAAGATGCCCAGAAATTTGTAAGGGAGAAATAGAATCTGAGAAGACTTTAACTCTTTGGGCACCAAAGAAGTTAACCGCAGCCCTCCCTAAACCTCAAATGTTCTCCTAGACATTCCAATCACTGAGGCATATACTGTATATGCCTTGCTGCTGCTCTACCAGTCATTTTGCAAAGGGTGACATGAAAGACTTACATTGTTGTTGCTAGTTAAGACTTGCATTACAAAAATTGTGTGTGACAATTTGGATAAATGCCGACATTTCTCTTATACAGTATATGCTCTGATTGATTAGATCACAATCACTGGGCTAGGATCTGTCCCTTCTCCTCCCACCTCTACTTTTTTCTAGTGCTACAGACTGCACTACCAGCTGGTATTTGCACAACTGCTTTAAGAGTGCCTGTAGACAAATAAAATCCTTTTGTCTACCATACTCCCCAGACTGACGGCACTGTGTTTGTTTTCCCCAAGGTCACAGTAGTTTTTTTTCCCCATTCAAAGGAATTGGATTTTTCATGGCGATCCAGGCATTGATGGGCAGGCGGGGGAATCTACTGCACATCCCTAATAAAAACATTGAAATTGTAAGAACTCAGCAAAACCAGGTACAACAGTGTAAAGCATTATTCTAGAAACCTAATGGGGTGAGTGGCAATTGTAAACCAACCTGACATGGGTTTTGTTCAATTTCTTTGAGGGCAAGAAGGGCTTTCTTTTACTGGAGAATCCATCTGGGACCCCACAAAAGGATTCACTCACAGCTGAAATCTCATATGAACAACCTGCTGTGCATATATTCTTTATGTGGAAATGATACTGGTTTTCATATGACAGCTATCTTACACAGCTGCTGTAAAGACTAAAATACTGCATGTACAAGAAAATCTGGAAACACTTCTCTCCACCGCTGCTTCTGTCCATGTCCCCTGTCTACTCACACTTGCAAAATTAATACTGATTTATGTGGAAGAGATATTATTTTCTATAATTTGATGTAATCACGTGTATGTCTCACTGAACAGCAAAGCAATGTGCACCATTATTAATAACAGGAGTAATGAAGAATTAAGAAGGTTCTGAAGTATAAAAAGGGAATTTATTAATGTATATATACAAATTTACAAAGCCAGAAACTGGAGAAATACAAACAGTGTTCAACCGTAAACTGCCTTTTTTTTCAGGTTAAAGAAAATCGTAACCACTTGATTCGGATTTCTAAACTGGAAACAAGGGCAAGGACCCAAATATTCTCACATTGGATAAATGTTAACCCTGGCTTTAAAGGGACAAAGATCCTACTTTTGCTGGGATTCTGTAGTAGGAGGGGTCTAGAATTTAGTAAGGTTATTTTTTCCCTTTCCTCTAGCATACATCTATCAAGCAGCAATCAATGGGAGAAAATGCTAAGTAAAATGAGAAAAATTAGCCCTCTATACCTTTATCAGAAGACACTACTGCGGAGCTTGACTCAGCACTGTTCAGGCATGTGGCTGCTGACTAGCAGCACATACTGCAGTCAAAGAGTTGCTGGCCAAACAGCAGCTTCATGCCTACACAGTACAGATCCAGATGTCCTGGCCTCTGGGTACTAACCAGTGGAGACTCACCCCTTGCTTCAGTTAGTGCTCACTGATAGTAGATGCATAGTATGTTCTTTCCCACCTTGTGACAGCCACACTACTATTATTGGCATGTTACAGCACCAGAAAAAAATGGAATATTATTATATGAAAATTATTCTATTGTGAAACCATCCCAGAAAAACAGCAGAATTCATACAGCTTTCAATATTATTATTTAGTTTAGAAAACAAAGAACAATTCTGCCCCAAACCAAGTGTTCCCAAGATCAGGAATGAAACAATGGCAATGGAGTCAAATTCCAGTTCTCTGTGCCCAATGGGAGAAGCATGTGTATCTTTGATTTGCCTGTTCTGTAATACCACATAACAAATGGGACTGTAGCTGCGCAGATGTATTTCTGAGAAAAGTGGAAGAATACTTTGGGACTTGGAAAGGAGTGGAAACGAAGAATTCAAAATGGAACCAGCCAAAGTGCACCCAACAGTTCTTGCCGCTAGCTCCACCAGGGAACTAGACAGAATGATCTTCCAGTCTGTGTCTGAAATGGGATTGGAAGTGCTTAAGACAGAAGTGGTCGAACCTATACATTATTTCACAGTCCTATTTGCCGGATACAATTCCAAAGGGAATCCTTAGGCCACACAATTTCTCTATCAGGTCTTTCAACTGAAATGTGTACCTTCAAAAAGTTACAATTTATCCAACAGTAAAAGTTTTGTTCTGTACATGTGTGGTTTAAAAATAATAAAAAAAGACTTAAGATGACTCATGTGCTTGAGGTGGTTTTCCGTCTCTTGAGTCGAGCTCGCCAGTCCTCGGGCAAGGCCTCAAAATTTGCATTTCTTTCTGCCATACCACTGGGGAAAAAATACACAGGACAATTATCAGTAACTATGCAAAAAAGGGGAAATTAAAGTAAACAAAGTAACATTCTAACTATATCAATTAATGTAAAGACATGGTCCAAGAGACCTGGTCTCCTGTGTACATAACACATATTTATACTTATTATTATACTGTAACTCTATTTTATGTGTGTGTCATGCCGTGAGGCGGAGCTCACTCGCACGTGCACATCACACTCGCACGCAGGCACACCACACGCTCACAGGGGGTGGAATGTGCTCACGAGCATGCGTGCAACGACTCTCGTGGGAGGAGTAGGAGATCTGTGTCCGCAGCCTGGTCCTGGATAGGCTGCGGACTGCTGCCGGGTTTACGGACCTCTGCTGTAACTTGTACAATAACAGGATGCTCAAGAGGGAAAATCTCAATCTAACAAATGGATAGATTGTAACAAATTTAGATAGTACACAACCGTGGCACACCATACCCATCTATGCAGAGATCACTTTGCTGCACAATCACATACTCTGTGTATGGATAAATGTGCTCCGTTTGACCAGTATGTTTGATGTGCAGAAAAGTAGACAGTGGCCAAAATCCTCTTATGTGGCTGCACAAATGCCATAACTTTTGGAGGCAAATTGCCCCAAGTTAAGAATTCACCATAGATGTTAAACAACCAGCACAAGCTGGAGCATGTGAGTCACATAAGTGGCTGAAATCCATGCCCATTACTTAACTTTGCTAATAATTAGCACATCACTTCAAAACTACCCAGAACTGTGGAAGAGTTACTGAAAACAAAATATTTTGACGGTTCAATAGGCTGTATTTTGACTGATTAATCATACCTGACCAACTGTTGTTGCTTCCACTCCTCGATTCGCTTCTGTGACATCACTTCCCGATCCTCATCGCTGGAGCTAGAGTTTTCCTCCTCATCCAATTCCCGTTGAATGCTCTGCCACTTTTTCACAAGAGATGGCATCTTTGTCTTGTTCTTTTTTCTCTGTAACAAAATAATTTGTGTGTACATCAGATCTAGATTTCCATAGCATATTTTTGTCCTAAATCCTGAGAAAACATTTAAGCTTGATAGTTATATTAATATACTGTTAGGTAGTGCAATTGCTTTATCTGACAGATAAAAAAAAAGAAGATACTGACAAGAGTGGTAGGAATGCTATATGGGGAGTGATCTAATAATATCTTTCGAGTGGCTCCAGATATATCACAGATATATTACAATGCAGAAAAGAGGAAAAAGCTGTTGCTAGAGATTAGAGATGGTCCACATAGCTGGACATAACAAGGATCCGGCGCCCTGGGGTCAGACCATCCATTCACACATCCACTGCTGCCACCGGCTCCAGAGCTTGCAGTTGGCTATCCACTCGTCAGCCTGGCAGGGAGACCTGTCTTCCCTCCTTCTGCCAGGAGTGGATAGTCGATCGTGAGCTCTGGAGTGATTGGAAGGGAGAGTGGAGTTGGTGGTAGCAATGGAAACATGAATGGACCCTCATTATGTCCAGCTGTGCGGGGGTATGCATATACAAATACCCCCATCTCTACTAGAGACTAAGGATAAAGCAAAATTGCTTTAATAAGAAAAATTGTCATGAAATTCTAGTTCTGAATAGTATTCTGGCTAACAAAGCACCCTTTGCATCACAGAAGCCAACATACTGCCACAAGAACATTAAAAGATTCAGACAAGTATCGCCAGGATGATTAGAACTGGGAAACCAAAGAAATAGCTGGCTCAAAAGCCTAAAGGAGTTATAACTTCACAAGTTTATCTAAAAGATCATACACTGAGCCTTACCATGTTATCCACTCCATATAGTCACCACTGTACAACTTTCACTGAATAGTATTCTAGCTCACAAAGCAGTCTTTGCATCACAGAAACAAAGAACACCACAGAAAAATGATGGACATTTCTACTTATATAATACTTGCCCTATTTTAGCACTTACAGTGAGACATGATACAACTGTAAGTACCTACCTTGCTAGTTCTCCTAAGCTTTTTTGATTTTTCAGGAGGCAGTGTTTTTGGAGCATGTGGAGGTGGTGACAGTGGTGGCGGTGGAGGTGGTGGTGGCGGCGGCACATGTTCTGCAGTACTAGTGGCAGGCAAAGCTCCTTGGGGAGGAAGTGGCTGTGTGGTGCTGGCAGGAAGTGCCACAGGGGCATTACACTCTGGATAGCTCATGAGTGCTGGCTGTGTTACTCCCAGATAACTCTGTTGCAAATTCATTGCTGGGGTCTGAGGGCCTGTAAACACAATGAGGGAAGGGAAGAATGAGAATATTTCCAAAATAGTTCACCATGGAAAACAAGAAAACCAGAATGATACTCACTTGCATTCATTACTGACTGGCCATAAAGTACTGGGCAGCTTCCAATAGTTGCTGCTCGTTGCACCAGTCCAGCAGTCATTTCAGAAGCTTTTCTCTTGAGAGATTTGGCAGAAAGAGATGTGGAAGTGCTGGTCTCGGAGTTAATCTGGAAGCAGAGAGAAGTGTTCTTGTGAAAGGCCTCTGAAAGCCCATGGAATGCAACACATACGCATTAGCAGGATCTGATAATCACATAGTCTTAAAATCCGGACAGCATGCCTACAATCATCTGCCTCTATTTACTGACAATGTGGCGACTGTGTGTTCAAAACTGCCTCACACGCTCACAAGTGTGAGATAGCTGGGCAGCCAGATTTTCTTTTAAACCTGTAGGTGCCGGCAGACTATCCTGGCAGCTGCATGGCAATTTCCTGCTCCAAGATTAGGAGGAAAGCTGTGGGATGTTTGGTAGGTGAAGAGCCTTGAATTCACAGAGAGTTGTCAATGCACAAAATGAAACCAGGGAGGTGGGGGTTATGGACAAAAAAAATCTCCTAACCTTCCCTGCACTGGACCTGGAAAGCCAACAGCCTGATGCAGCTTCCAGTTAGTATATGTCTGGTGGGATGGACAGGGTGAGGTACAGCCAACAACTACATTTTTTTGATTAGTCCAGCAAGCTTAACTGTTACAGTTACTTGGTTAGATGCATTGATTTTCAACAAAGCACAAGTTTCACCAACTCAACCACCATAAATTATATCCTAAGAATTGTAATCCTTTGTAAAGAAGATTGGTTCATGTCATCTATCTGAAATATACTGTTTCTTGTGCTTTTACAATCTTACCACTACCATAGTGCATATTTTCATGTGTGCAGGTCATCAAAATCAATTCATAGTAACAAATATCTTGAATAAGGGATGCTCAGGAGGGTAGGGGCCAATTGCACCTCCCTCCCTGTGGAGGTGCAACTGGTCCCCACTCTCCTGAGCTTCCGCAAGCAAATTAAAACTTGGCTTTTTACCCAGGCCTTCCCAAGCGCCCCCCTTTTGTTAAATTATGCTGCCATCCTATGTTCCAGATTGGTGATTTTATGGGGTGGTAGGGTTTTGTTTGTTTTCTTTTAATATGGGTTATATGGTTTTAGCATTTCAGCTGTATGTTTTATATTTTGTAAGCTGCCCAGAGTAGTGGCATACTCATTAAATGGGCAGGATAGAAATCTAAATAAATAAATAAAATAAGGAAACAAATGCTTCAGAAATAGCTTTATCATAAAAACCAAGTAGCTAAGAAATATTACTCCTATATACTACTGCTATAGAGGGTCTTGATGGAGAACTTACGAGACAGCAAAGAGTGCAAGACAGTTTCCTAACGTACAACGTAAGACTGAAGCATGAAGAAGCTTGCAACTCAGAACTTGATACAGTTCATATCAATCACAAAACTAGTAAGCCAGTGTCAGAGGCACTAACACACCTGGTTGTTGGTAACTGTTGGCCGGAGAAGAGGTTTCAGGACAGCATCTTCCTCTGTTCCCGGTGCTGGTGGCTCCTCATCTCCTTCATCCTCCATCTCTACTTCCTGTATTTCCCCATCTTCTCCTGGTGGAGGTGGGGGAGGGGGTGGGGGTGACTCAGGTGGTGGCGGTGGTGGTGGTGGCATTTCCAAGGGCAAAGGGGGCTGAAGTACAGGAACAGAAGGCTGAAGTACAGTCCAAAATGGACTGAGAGGCACAAGGTTTGAAGCTGCAGATTGACTAGAAAGAGGATCTTTGCCAAGAGAACCTAAAGATAAGACAAATAAGAAGTTTTGATTACCCTACAGCTGTAACAGTAGCTCACACATTCAAAAACTCACCCATTCTACATGTTTGCACTTATTTTTTTCCAGAGGAATACAGATTTCTCTGGAAAAAACTCCCCCAAAAGCAAGAAATTACACTTCCTGTCTCTGCTTGGTGTAGGAGATAGTATGTGAATCACACAGTAAAATGGATACTGATTTCTAGCTTGAATACAGAAAAATATTTTACAGATTATGTCTCAAGTCCTGTCCAATTCCCCTCTCTCTATGTGGGCACCGAGGCACAGGATTATTCCTGAGCAAGCACTCTCTTGTATCAAACACATTTTAACCAATATTATTTCTATTGTACTGGCATTAACATTATTTTTTAATTCCAAGAAAAATTAAGTTTCTTCCAGCAAACCCATTCATTCCAGTACCTGTAGTGTTATCAGTCAATTCCCTGGCTTCTGTTTTCTCCTTTAGGGCTTGTTTGGGAAGAGCTTCTGCTTTATTTTCTAGGATTTGCCCGTCCTCTTCCTCTTCCCCATCTGGGAACTCCCACTGCGATTCGCCTGATTGCTCGTTAACATAGAAATAGCGCCTATGATCCCTAAATCACAAGAAAGAAAACAAGGCTTTACACTCTCACTCCTGCACCGACACCATTATGTAGTCCTGTCCTATGACAGCAGAGCGCTCTCACAGGAAGAACCTCTTATAGCAGGACTGTTGTTCACAAAGGCAACAAACAGCTTTGAGGAAGGATTTGCAAGTTGGGCTTACTCCAAACTGTTTGTGGTGCTGGCTCTGTGATCACAGGCCCGACCCTCCACTGCAAGAGTAGAGGGTTAGCGAAACAACTCGCTTGTGGTTGGTGTGCAATTAAAAGGTTCAAGGATGCATTAGGATATAGATTTTTTTAAAAGGTAGTCTCAGGGCTCATATCCTTCCAGAACAGCAAAAGGAAAACAGCCCAATTTATGATAGATGGCTGCTCCCTCATGGACTGCTGCAGTCACATTTATGATACTCTTGGTGTCAGACATAGTGAATTGCTACTGAGAGGGAGAGGATCTGGGAGCTGAAAAACAAAAGAGCAAAGATTTCAAATAAACAAAAATAATCAAGAAAGCCAAAGATAAGAAGAAATAGTTTGGTCTGACCTGCTGGCAGAAGATAGTTATCGTGTTCTTCGGTGAGATCCTCAGTCAGTGAGCTTTCCATAAGGACACAGACGTTACTTGGGAGCGGAGTTCCTGAGATCCTGCAATGTGCACAGAGCTCTCGCATGCGCGACCCCCCAAGCCCGCCCTCCTTAGCGCATTTACACTCAAGAGTGAACACCAGCTCTGTCCAATCGCGGAATCAAATCCATTTCAACACACTTAACAAAGACTTTATATCTCTCCAATTTTTGTGGCTGGCTCAAACTCTGTATATGCCAGAGGCTCTCTGCCCGCTCAGCACCGCTAAGTGCAGCTGCTCTCAGTCTCCAGATAGATGACGGCACGTCGGCAGGTGGTGATGGTCACAAATCATGTCTGAGATGTCAAAGGTGAAAGGTGAAAAGGGGAGAAGAGTGCGTACCTGTCCCAGTGGCAGGACCAGCCTTTAGGGGCGGCGTTTATTTCATACTGTTTTAGCTGTTCAGCTGCATCTTGCAATTTGCGTTTGAGGTAGTTTCCTTGGAGAGCTCCTTCCCGCCAGTCTGCAATACGGGTCTATGACAAGCAAGCAAATAAGCAGAAATAATGAGAAACAGATAAGACAGTTGGCCTCATACGTAACACTCTCTCTAACACAAGGCTTGTCTCTCCTCAGGATAGGAGAAAGGTCTACTGACAGGACCAAGCCTTCAAACTTGATACCGAACCAAACCATTCCAGCTTAGGGACAGAAGAAAAAGACTATTATCCATTCCACAGTACTTAAACTTCCCAGATTATCATGCTGTAATCTTGCTAGCTGGTTGGCTCCCTACATTCTATAGTTTATTTTTGAGAAAAGGTAAACTTTTAGTTACCTCAGTCTGCAAGAGGAGCATGTGGAAGTTAGAGATGGATTGTCGACTGATGCCCAAGAACTCCAGCTTGCTTATCAACATATTGGCCAGCTCTCCAATCTGAAACTACCAGGCAAGCAAGAGGTAAAGATTTCCCTGTCAATTACAATGCACAAGAACACTGGAATACTGTCTCTAATTTACAGATACTGCTTTAACAAAACGGGTTATGCAAGCAGTAACCTCTAACTGAAAAATTGCAAGCAGCTCTGTTCTACCCAAATGCAAAAAGCTGGTATTACCAGCCATTGTCCTGGAACATTTCAATGCAATCCTGGTAGAAGTCCCTAAGAGAGAAATAGGGAAGGTACCCCCATCAACCAATCAATGCTATTGGTTATGCTAACTAAAGCTACGCAAGCTACACTCCAACATGTGGATGGCCAACATACCCCCCACCACTGATATAAAATCTTCAACAAAAATGTTATACATGGATAACTCACTATACCATTTTAATTACTCACACCTGTGAAAAGTGTTGCCCCATTTTTCAATGGAAATCTCTTGAGGGGCCATCACCTGGGTTTACCACCATTCGACAAGGCCCCACAGAATCATTCTCTGACTTTGTTAGTCGCCTGATTACAGCAATAGAAAGGCAAATTGATAACCATAAGGCACATTCTATGCTCCAAAAACAGCTGGCCTCGCTACACACCAACACTTAAAATATAAGAGAAAAGGTTGGGATAACACCCCAAAGTGTATGGCAAAATTATGTTTTTGTCACTAACACATATCTCATGATAATGGATTTCAATGCTACAGTCATGGCTCCCCAGTCAAGCCTCCCCTCCTTATTCAGCCCCTCTGCTCTTGCTTGTCCTGGAGTGGGAACTTCCAGGGGAAGTCAGATATGGTGATCTCACTTCCTCAACATCTGTTTAGTCTCTCACATTAAGAGGTGTTCCAGGGCATTTCATACAGAAATGAAATTACCAAGGCCAGGTACTGAGAAACAAGCTAGCTTCCTTGCAAAAGTAATGCTGCCACCAATCCCACACACAGACACTGAAAAATCCTAGAAGCTGGATGAGGTTAGGACTGGTTCTTTGAGCTTTGTGGTGCAGTGGCTGAACAGCAGTAATGCAGCCATGACTCTGCTCATGATCTGAGTTTGATCCCAACAGGTTCAGGTAGCCGGCCCAAGGTTGTCTCAGTCTTCCAGCTTTCCAAGGTTGGTAAATTGAGTACCCAAGTTCATGGGGGAGGGGGGGATGCATAGCCTGTATAAATAATTTTCTAACTACCTAGAGAGTACTTTAGGCAATATGAGGCAGCATATAAAGCAGCATTTTGCCTTTTTACTTTTAATTTCTATGCTCTCAATCAAAATCAGACAACATGCTTAAAATGATTTTTGTAGTTTACTAAAAAGAAAAAGAAGTGAGGAGGATACAAGAATGAATGAATGAATAAAGAAGAAATAAAATTTCCAAATTACGAGCAACTATGAGCACAGATTTATGGCATATCAGAAAATAAATGCTAACTTATCCTAACTATACTCACACCTGAGTGGGAAAATAGTGTACAGTATTTCTAGACACAGCATCTTTTGAAGGCAGACTCTGGGTCTACTCAATAGACAGTGTCTTTTAAGGCAGCATAAAGTGAAGCAGGATTCTCCAATGACTTATGCGAGGCTAACTAATTTCCCTAATCCCATTTATACAAATGAATGAGCTGTTAAGCACCTGTTGCCAACTCATCTTCATCTCCTTTCATTGTCTGTCAGGACAAAAGGTAGCTTTCCTGGCTTCATGCCATACCTCATTCCCAAATCCACATAACTCACTGGGAGGAAGTGGACTGAATCCTTTCAAGTCAAGGTACAGATAAGGCTTATGGGTCCCTTTTGGGGCAGCTTTGTTATGTCCTCTGATAAAGATAAATAAGATAAGCATGGAGGCATCTGGTCCACAGCTTAATCCTTTCTTTGGAGCATCCAATGCAGGAGATGAAACATTTCCATCTGCCCTTTGGCTGTGAGGTCAGTTTACCAGGCTCACAGAAACATATTTATTTATTGTTTCAGTTTTGATATACTGCTCCGCTAGTGCTGCAGCAATACTCTGGGCGGTTCAAATAAATTAAATAATCAAATAGTTAATATAAATATCATAAATATCTAACCATGTAAAAACAGGTGTCAAAGCATTAATAAAACTGTATATAAACAGAAAAATAAAATAAAATACAGACAACAAATAACTAAATGGAGATGCAAAAGTACCTCAGCATAGGAGTCCAGAAACTCAACTTCATATCTCATACATCCCAAATTCTTAATCTCTTCACATCCACATTTTCCAAATTTGCCTCAAGAGATCTTATTTTATGGTGACACCACTCATCTTAAAGTGTGTGCAAAAATATGTTAGAAACAGTCTTAAGGAATTCTAAAGGTGTTCAGAGGTGCTCTGCCTGGTGTAACTACAAACATCTGAACTCCTCCTGAGAAGATTAAATACTGACAGGGATCAAAGAATCAGTTCACACCAGAAAGGTTAGAGATGTCAAACAAAAATGATATTTTCTTGCCACCCTAGATCTGCACACAATTGCAAGGCAACAAGTTATCTGCACACACTGTGTGCTCAGAATCTACACAGCAAATAATCAATTGTGTCACTACAAGGCAGAATTGTTGAAACAGCAGCTCAATATACATTAAACTACACTGCTCATTATCCATCAAGGAAAAGGAAGCCAATCCAATTTGAAGACACACATGTAGATTCACCACTAATAATACTGCCAGAAAGCCTCAAGATAGTTTCGCTCACGTACCTTTAAGTCCTGCTCCTCATCCTCCACCTTGAACGTCCCTTGAGTTTTCACTTTGTCTTGCAATTCTTCTGTTTCTGATTCATTGTCCGAATGCTCCTCAGCAACTTCAGGATCCTCTTTCGCTGCTGAATAGAAGCCAAGGGAAAAATGATTTGCATGACTCATTCTCTTGGCAGTGGGTCTACAATATTATGTCTTCCATTTTACCATCAACTGATGCAGGAAGATATGAATTTTCCTAACTTACAGGGCTGGAGGGAAGCAGGGATCCTTTCAACTTTGTCTATATATTTTATTTTACGTGCAAAAGAAGGCTTACTTAGGCACTGCACTGAGACTAGTGCAGAGTAAGAAGTCTGAGAATAGCTAATGGTATCTCAAACTTAGCAGGTGGGAAGAAAATACATAATGCAATTAGAAAACAAAGATCTTCCTTGGTATTTTCTAGATCTGACAGAGATGTAAACAGTGCTTTGCAAAAAATATATTTAACTTACCCGTTTCTCCAGGTTCAGGACTCTCTTGTCCTGTCTTGCTAGATCCTCGGCTCGTGGATTCAGGGCTAGCAACCCCAAAGAGCTTCCATTTTGCTGGTTTGGGGAGTAGCCGTCGTGTAAGCTCTGCCTGGCTCCCATCAGAAAGAGGACTGGAGCCTGAAATACTCCCATCACCTTCTTCTAAAGCTCGGAGTTCTGCCTATAAAACATTATTTCAGCATTAGGGAAAAGACAGGTTACTCACCTGTAATTGTGGTTCTTTTGAGTGGTCCTTTATCGAACACATTCTGTCTCTCTCCCCCCTTTTAAACACCTGTATTTAACCATTATGATCTAGTTCTATGACAGCCTCCCTTAGCTCTAAATACCAGGATGCTTTCCTCACTTATTCTAATGCCCTCCATAATGGCTTCTGTTTCCACAGCCCAGAGTAGAACAGTTGGTAGCACTTTCCCACTGCCAACACTTCTGCTGTCCCTGGCTGGTTCAGAGCATTTTACACAGCAACATGTTCAAGAATCCACCTGTGTATTCTTCATGCATGAAAGCAGAAGCAGTGGCTATCAGAGAAGCAAATTGTAGGTACCGCTCTGGGTTCCTTAGCCCCTTCTTGTTCTATTCCCTTCTGTCTGGTCAATGAAGTTTAAGGAAGAAGGAAAAACTGATGCACAGGGGACTAGTGAACAGCCCAGGTGACTCTCAATTGCCTTCTTTCTGTGACAGAACAGGTCATACATCCTCCCGTTACCATGTGTGCTAGACCTTGATATGTACAGACATAAAAATTCCCCCATCTTGCCCAGACCCCCACCCTCCAAGTGTACAGGTACTTTGTGCTTCATGAAATACACTGATGCCTCACAAGATGAAATTAATTTGTCCCACGAGTTGTGTCGTACTGCGAAATTTTCATCTGGCGAAGCGCAGTACTAACGGTTGTGTGATTTAAAACAACCCCCCCACAAAAAAGGGAAAAATTCATATTGCAAAGGACGGCCATAGAAAAAATCATCTTGCGAGTCACCAAAAAAAATTTCAAAATGCTTTCGTCTTGTGAGTTTTTCGTTACAAGAGGCATTCGTCTTGCAAGGCATCACTGTATAGCTCTCAACAGAAGGGCTCCTACTTTTACACTCTTAACTGCCCGTTATATGCCTTATCAGCATATTAAAGACCTATAGTAGGCCAAATATTTTCTTAAGCTGGAGAAAGGAAACCCCTCACCAAGGCTTTACTAATCTGTATATCTAAACCTCAGATTAAGGCAAGTGAATAGAATTAAGGAAGCCTATTGCACGCACATTAAAGACAGAACAGACTCAGCACATAGGCAGACTACAAATAGCCTGACAAGCAGTCCTCTTCTACAATTATTTTTAGGGAGTACAGAAAAAGGAACACTATTTTTCTCATTTGCTTGGTACATATCCAAATATTTTCCTTCATAACTGTACTGTACTTTTATCTGAAGCCTCCTTTGTTTTCTTACTGCTTACAACTGTAATATCTTATGTCTGTAAAAAGGCAATACGGAATTCCCTCAGTGACTTCAAAAAGAAAAATAATTGCTTAAGTGTCTTGAGCAGCAAACTTTTATTGGATGTAATATATCTAGGGAAGAATGAGACGGCTCACTCTTCAAATTACTGCACCATTTTGTGGCAATTTTAAAAAATTATCTGGAGCCTGTACATTAATGAATGATGGAGGTGGCCTATTAATCAAGTCATGCAGACAGAGATGCCTATCTGCCTACCTTTTTAATTTTGAAAGTAGTCATAAACCACTCTCCTACTTGAAAAAGGACCTTTGAAGTTATGTGTGGGGAATTAAATGGAAGCAGCCATATAATGCTACAGAGCTAATAAAGAATAAGCTCTGCATTACTATTACAATAATTTATTAAGAATAAACTATCTGAAAGGTGGGGACGCTATCAAGATACCGAAACACCCAAGTATATTACAGGAGGGTGGATAAGTGGAGGGGTAACCAAAACTGAAACCACTTCAAAATTTTATCTTTTCTCCAAAAGTGCTCTGCTCTTCTAAAAGCCACATTCCCAATACAGTGGTGCCCCGCTAGACGATGTTAATTAATTCCATTGAAATCGCTGTTTAGCGAAAACATCATCTAGCGAAAAGCCTTTCCCCATTGGAATGCATTGAAACCCATTTAATGCATTCCAGTGGGGAAAATACCTCGTAGTCCTGAGAAGATCGCCAATAGGGAAGCTGCTTTGCGAACCGCCAATCACTGTTCTAAATCGCTGTCTTGCGAAAAACGGGCCCCAAAACACCCGTTTTGCGAAGATCACCCCTAGGGAAGCCATTTTGCGAGCCGCCGATCAACTGTTCTAAATCGTCGTCTTGTGAAAAAAAGGTCCGGGAAGCATGGACCAAATTGCCGTCCAGCAAAATTCTGCCATAGGAATCACTGTTTTGCGAAGCAAAATGGCGGCCGCAAAATGTCGTCATCAGGCGGATTCGTCATTCTGAGGGGTAATCGTTTTGCGAGGTACCACTGTATATTTAAAAATCTCTCTCTCAGGAAAACAAATAAGGGGCAACAGCAAAGTTACTCTCACAACTTTTTTCAAGAGGCTAATTTCAGTTAAGGGTTAGTAGAAACTTATTTTACAGCTTGCTTCAAAATGGAACCAAACACCAAGAGTGATGGGCTCACTGTTGCGGGATGCCTTCTGGCAGAAGCTCTGTTGCAATTTGTCAGGGATGCTCCTATCTGGGATTTCCTGCATCAAGTAGGAGATTGGGCAAGATGGCTTACAAGGGTCTCTCCAAATCTACGATTCTGCTTTCTACATACATCTAGAAATAACTCCAAAGAGACCTGAAGTATAATGCTTTACAGCATTTACTGATACATCCATAATCATGTCATGATTATCTCAATGTGTAAGTTGACACTGAGATAAATCTTTGTATGAAACAGACAGTTAATGATTTCCAAAAGCTTGTAACTTAAAAGACAGTATTACCTTTTTTCTTCATAGCAGCTGAATGAACACCAGTGCATCCAGGCCGTCAAATAACAAACAAACAAACCACAACAAAATAGAAGCAGCTATCCCTGCCACAAGGTGGCAGATATGTGATACACTCCTCCAGCAAACTTGCCTTTCTTTCTACTGCAGGCTCTGCAAACTTCCCCCATCTCCGTCCCACTAGGAAAATACTTCCTATATCTCCAGTGCAGCTGTCCTACCTTCTTTCTCTCCAACACCATCTCCAGTTCAAGAGTATCTTGTTCTTCTTCCTCCCCTGCACTCTCCCCTGATTGCACCACACTACACAGATCCTCCTGAGAAGGGTCTTCTCCCATGTCTCGGCTGGCTTCAATCTGTTGATCACCAATAGATGCTGTTTGTTCTGCGGCCACATCCTCCCCCATCAATGGTTCCACCTCCTCTTTACAGATAACCTTCCGCCTCCAGCGCTCCTCTTCCTCCTTCACAACCTCTGGAAGCAAGGGAGCCAACAATGATGCAGCCACTCCCCTTTTCTCTTCCTCACTGCTTGAAAGGGCCTGGACACCTTCATTCACTTCCTGGAAAGTTAATGAGATTTACACCAAAATGTTAGCTTCCTATAGTAACTCACAGAGAATACTCAAAAGTCACATCGAATTTCTAAGGACTGCCAGAACACTTCAGAAGCTATTTTCAGATGAGGGTCATGTACACCATATTCTGTATTCTTTAAAAAAAAACCTGCAAGTGTTATGGGAGAGGAAGGGAGAAGGTCTACACTAGGATGATATGGTTTGTTTCAGTTATCAGAAGGCCAAACCTCTTTTCTATGGAATTGCCACATATCAGAGAGAAATGTTCTCTCCGTCTTCCTCCCAACCCCTTTTTGGCCAAAGCAACCATACTATATGCTATCTGACATCTTGAAAACCTATTTGAAGTCACACATATTTCTCCTTATTCATATTCTTCCACAAAGCCCAGAAATGAGCTTCAGTTAGCTAATAAACAGTAGGAAAGCAGAGGTATGTGTGCAGAGCTTTCAGCAAACACAACTGAGCACAGCACGAAAGCCCTATTTTCCAAGCAATGCCCACTGAAATCTCTAAACCTGGAAAATAATGCACAACACGTTCTGTCAACTGAACTGTGGAATCCCTCCTCTGTCTGGAGGCATCGTCAAGATGCAACACAGAGACCTATCTACCATTTCTGGTTCTCAAAGGACAGAATAGGACATGTTTTATTACAGCCAAAGAACAGCAGCAAGGTTTTCACAGTTACAGTATTGTTATTTCGTAAAACTATGAAGGGACCGCCTTGCTGTTAAGATATTCTGCAAGGCAGTCCCTGCTTTGAACTCCTTTCCATCCATTCTTGATCTGGAAAAAACCCATTTATTCACATCCCGCCTTTCTTTCCATAAAGGCATTGGTTACATCAGATGCATACATAGTGCAAAACTGAAATTACATGTATGTACTGTAGAGGGCAAAGCAAATACCACAAGCTAGAGTGGTCATAATCATTCTGAAAACTGGAGTACAAACAAGAGAGCTCTGCTTTTAGTGGGTCAAGTTCATACTGACCTTCTTCAGCTCACGTTTCCCAAGTACTGTCCTACGGCCACCACTCCCAATAGTAGCAGTACTTTTCCCCTGGGAGTTCACGTCTGCAATGATCTGGTAGCTTTCAGCAGTCTCTGTTACAGAACTAAAACAATCACAAATTTAGTAAGGAAAAACAAAAGGAACATCATTTGAGTGTACAGATTACTGTCTTTCTTACCTCTGGTAATGTTGGAGGCCTTGAACTTGAGTTGCAAGGTACTGCGGTAGCTCCCATGTAACCTCATTAGTTTGAGTGTTCCAATAATAATAGCAGCCCGTATTTTCATCCCAAACTTCCTGCCAGTCTCCCATCTCCACACCCACTGTAGGGAAAAAAAAGGATAAGACGTCAATGAGCAGGATCTTTTTCCTTGACTGCTATCTTCCCCTTCCTCTGTGCATTTTTAAAAAAGAGAGGTTCCAGTTGCACTATTCCCAACTTCTCTGTTTTAATTGGAAAAAAGCACATTCTTATCTAGTCTACTATTGATTCATCAGTAACTTTAAAAATTCTTAAACCCAACTTTCCTGAACAAATTACTTTTGAGATTACGTGGCACCAGAAATATCTAAAGAACAAAGGAGAAAGTACATCTCCCCATCTGAGATCCCTGAGAAATGTTTTCAGCCTGCAGAGAGTCAATGGCAGATTTCCATGCTTGACCCTCTCACCCACCAAATAATTTTCTGTGGTATTCTCTACAATTCCGACCTCAGAAAGGGACATAAAGGGGCATTTTTGGAGCATGTTATAAGGAGGGATGGTTATGACTTCAATTCAAAGCCCTCTCAATCTCATATGAAGACTGCACACAGTTTGTCTTTTTCTTTCTTGCTAGTTGTAGTCAGAAGATGCTTTTGCTCACTAGAACAATAAAACCTCTAAGAAGAATAAAATAATGAAACGAATCAGCTCCATTGTGCTGGCCAAAGTCGAGCAGCAGTCTGGACGTGCTACAGCCAGAGTGCTACAACTTTAAGTTATCAGTTTTCAAACAGACACCACAAACTGTTGCCTTAAAAAGATAGGGAAAATGAACACTTTAACTATGGCACAAGCATGGACTTGATTCAACAACTACAGTGGTACCTTGACTTACAAACCTAATCCATACTGGAACGGCGTTCGTACGTCAAAAAGTTTGTTAAGTCAAGGCAAGATTTCCCATAGGAATGCATTGAAAACCATTTAATCCATTCAGGTTGTTTTTCATTTGTATGTCAAGGCGCTGTTCGTAAGTAGAGGCACTAGTTCCCATAGGAACTAATGCAAAGGCAGTTAATCCGTAATTTGCCACTAGGGGGAGAAATTTGTAAATTTTTCTTCTTCTTTGGACTAAGATGAACTTAGGTCAAAATAACGGCAGGAAAAGTTTTTTTGTTCGTAAGTTGAGGCTCTGTTTGCAAGTCGAAGCAACATTTTGCGAACGGAGCCGTTTGTAACTCGAAATGTTTGCAAGTGGAGACGTTCATAAATAGAGGTACCACTGTATGTGTTACAAGGTAATAAAAGGAGCTCACCTCCTGCCAAGGAGCACTGAGTGTCATATTGCCACTCAGCCACCTGGTCTGTTCCATTTGTAGTTGCCAAAACCTGATTCGTGGCAGACTCCTTGGGTTCTGGTCGAGGGGGAGTAGGAGGCGGAGCAATGGCAGAAGTAGCGGCCTCAGCAACTTGGGAAGGAGCTGTAATGGCATCTATTTCCTTTAAAAAAGAATAAATGACACAAAACAGGGCATTAAATTCTGGGATACAAAACTCTGGCTCATGCATTACACACAACCCATCAGATTCTCCATCTAGCCTGTCTGTCACCTTTATTCCTGGGTTTTACTTCCAGCCAGTCCTCAATAATAACAGAGCATGCAAGAGTCCTGCAAAGAACTGCATTGTACTTATCAAGTACTTTGAGTGCTCAAAAGCTATTGTACTGGCACTCTATTCCAAGCAGATAGGCACAGAAATCAATTATGTTTTATACTTTTCATGAATATATATAAAAAATTGCATTGGATCTTGCCCACTTTTTTCTAATCCCACCTCATGGCCACTGCTGGATACAACTTCCTGAGATTCTTCCCGCATGGAAATCTGGCCCATGGGCTTAAAAATACCTATAAAACATTTAGTTACTAAATAATTTTATTTATTTATTTGTTTATTTTATTTATTTAACTTATATGCCGCCCACATTACCCGAAGGTCTCTGGGTGGCTTTCAGCATTTAAAATGCAATTAAAAAGGCAAAATAAAAGGGCAAAATAATTAAAATGCAATTAAAATATATATTCTAAAAATTGCCATCAGACCCACAGCTAATATTATTTCAGTTAAAAGCCCTTTGGAACAGGAAGGTTTTGACCTGGCGCCGAAATGTCATCATAATTTTAACTTATTTAATTTCTTTACCACTATTACTATGAAACAGTTGTATATCAGGATTATATTTTAACCATTTCTTGTCTGCCTTGGGCCTCCTATTGTGTTACCGTAAATTTCCTACATGTTCCATTCCAAGAAACAAGATCAGTTAAAGAACTATAACAAATCTCCTACTAACCGCTAGAAAGTTGGCCAAGGTACTGTCAATATCTGATGAGTTATTGCCATTTCCATCCGCAGACTGTGCTGGCTTCTCAGACATCTCACTGTCGTCTTCATCACTGTCAGCATAAGCTCCAAGCAAACACAACCCGCCTAAAACAAACATCAAAACACACATATTTAGCAGTCTACAGGGACACTGTTTTTTATAATCACTAAAATTAAGTATTCAGCAGTCCGTCGCGTGGATTCAATCTTACGACTGCTGAATATTTTTGCAGTAGCTTAAAATAAATCATTCCAAGGAGACAACACATTACATACAACTCACATGAACGTATGTACTTTTACATCCCTGATGCAAGAAATACAATAGGTGATTCCACAGGTATTAGCAGTTAAACTAGGAGCTTTCCTAGTACTTTTCCATTGAAAAACATCCTGCACCCTTTCAGCATCCATCTAGTCTTTAGCACTTTACCATTTGTAAGGAGAGAGGACAATTTACAGATCGAATCAAAGTACCAGAAGAGACAAAAATACTCAAAATAAGAATGTAAACTTTGGTGATAGTCAAGGTTCCTGTTAAGCTGTGCGCATACAACTCCACTTCCCTCCGCGCAGCTGTCTTCTTCCTCCACGCAGCAATTACATTAAGTTCCAGTTGTGACGTAACCCAGCACATGGGGGGCGGAGTCATGCACACATGCAGGGGCGAAATCACATACATGAGGGGCAGAGACCCACCCACCGGGACTGAAAATTAGAGGGTATGTTGGTGATGATCCAACAAGCAATGCCACCCATGCTTGCTGCCACAAACAGTGAAAATACACGCTTTGCCTAAATATACATGAAACCATTGACCTGAGCAAATAACATTTTCATATTGTTATTTGTCTATGTCAGCATTCAATTAGAAAACCTAGATGTCTGAAGGCTCTGCAAGTAGACCACCTCTTTGCAAAAAAATCAATTAGCCATCAGTGCCAAGACAGGATCTTGCCCTGGATTTTCACTGTGCCTTTCACAAAACAGTACTGCTACTTTGGTTGTCATTAGTGAAAAAAAGAAACCCTAGAAGCAGCTTCCAATTATTTTAAAACAAAGGGTTGCAGAGATTTTGTTTTCTGAAAAATAAAAAAAGGTTGACATTCAGTCCAGTCGTGTCCGACTATAAAGCATGGTGCTCATCCCTGTTTCCAAGCCATAGAGCCAGTGTTTGTCCGTAGACAGTTCTGTGGTCATGTGGCCAGCGCAATTAGACACGGAATACTGTTACCTTCCCACCGAGGTGGTACCTATTTATCTACTCACATTTACATGCTTTCAAACTGCTAGGTTGGCAGGAGCTGGGACAAGTGATGGGAGCTCACTCCGTCGCGTGGATTCGATCTTACGACTGCTGGTCTTCTGACCTTGCAGCACAGAGGCTTCTGCGGTTTAACCCACAGTGCCACCATCTGAAGAATATTCAGAAGAATATTCTGAAGAATAGCTATTCTGAAGAATATACCTATTCGGAAGAATAGCTGTACACAATCTAAAATTATGGTTAGAGTCAGTGACACATGCAGAGTAAGAAAAAAAATTCTATATTAAAGATTTCAGTTATTTCTGTTGCTTCCAAATGCTTGTATTCATTTTTAAGAATCTGCTATAATGGCCAAAATTCTCCTGCATAGCTAGGGAAATGGCATAATTTATGGAGGAAAATTGGCCCAAGTCATGAAATCACTGTAGACATAATCATTTGCACACTGAGTCATACAACTTTATATGTAACAGATAAGGTCTACAGTTATTTCTTAAACTTAAGCAATTTCTCTCAAAAAATTACATCATTTCTGTTATGCCAGGCTAACTAGGCAAGAGATTTGGGCTGTTAAAGTTATAAACTTAGTAGCCAATTGGGTAGTATACAAATTGAATTAACAACAACAAGTAAAACCTTAATCCAACCAGCCTATACAAAATCTTTCAATAACCCAAAATTAACAAATGCTCTTTGTTTTAATGTAAAAGATAACTAAGGATCTGTTAATAAATAACACTTGAAAACGTCATCTCACTCAAAAAAGTGTGTTACTGTTTTTTGCTTCAACATAGCTGTTAGGATCCTTTTAACATTTGCAGTATGTCAATAACATAGTCTTTGTACAGTATCTGTAGATTATAGCACCATTACAAAACAAATTGGGAAATGTCATACCTGTTGGTTTGACAGCTACTGGCCCCACAGGCATATTTGCTTGGGGTGGATTTGAGGTTGTCTTTCCAGTTTCTTCTGTAACTTCAAATTCATCTGAAAACAAACAAACAAACAAAAACCACATGTAAAGAGAAACTAGGAAAAAAACAGCACAAAGTTTATTCAGCTCTGTACGAGAGTTAATAAAATAAGATTACATTTACCTGCACTGGGGGGCATGTAAAGTAAACAAACTATAATATTTTAGTGGTGTTACAGAAGTATAAATTTGCATGCACTCAGGACAAGAATCAACATCTCATTATGGGTAATTTGTTGCAAAGATGTGTGCAATTTCCTTTACACAAGCATAAATCAGTAATATGGTTCTGGGGATCTCTCTCTCACTCACCCACACAAAACACACATGTACCTTATTTACATACAAATTCTCCTAAGTAATGAATTTCTGGGTCTGGTTATAACGTAAGAGGAAACACTCTGTAGGACTTCAAGCTACAGTGTGCTCATGCCTGGATGCAGACTTTATTAATTCGGAGTAACATGCTTCATCATGTGACATCATCCTTCCCAATACTCCTCCCTTCAACTCTTGTGCAAAAACAGCAACCATGAGTCCTGAGCACTACTCATCACTAGACATACAGGAGCACCACAAGGTAAAGTTGCCCTGGGACTAAGCAGTGTAATGTCTTACCACAAATTCTACAATGCAGAATGATCAACAATTAAGTAACTGTACTTTATACTTTCTATTCAGGAGACCATGTTTCTCCGAAAATAAGACAGGGTCTTATATTCATTTTCACTCCAAAAAACGCATTAGGGCTTATTTTCGGGGGATGTTTTGTTTTACAGTCATGTCATCTTCTGGTGGCTGCATAATTCTGCACAATGGTGGAGGGCAGGGTAATGTGGTAACTATCACTGGGACAAAAAAAAGTATGCAAGAAGAATGTAATTAGTGTCCAGAACCTCTGAGAAAATTACGGGAAGTATTTCAACAAGTTATGCTTTCCCAATTTGAAGTTTCCCATTTGCAAATTAGGAACAGCAATAATCTATTTTACCATATATTCTTGGCATGAAGAATGAAATAAAGAAAATAAAATCCCCAAAATTAACTATGGAAAAGGCAACTCTGTTGGTCTATGCAGACACATCCAGCCAAAAGCAAAGCAAAATAAAATAAAAAACAAAAAGTCGTACCATCTTAAAGACTAGCTCTTCTATTCGAATATCTAAGTGAATTTACCCACAAAAACTCATATTGGAGTATAACTCATTAAGAGGGACAACGTTTTTGTTTTTCACTCTGTTTTGTTTTCCTCGTTATAATCTCAGGGCAACCAGCAGCGCTTCTTATGAGGTAAACAACGACTCTGTGTGGCTACCATTCGGAAATGGTGATGATGATGATGATGCTGGGGTGCGCTCCAAGAAGGCAGAATGCCAGCAGCCACACACGTCCCTATACCAAACATGAGTAATAGTCTCCAAACTACTGGGGGAGGAGAGACGTGAGGAGAGGGAAGGGAAGGAGGGTTAAAAAACAAAACAAAACAACGACCGACCACCCTCTAAATTCAAGGGAGGGGGGGCTTGAGAGGGGGGGCGGGCCAAAGAGAACACCGCTATTTAAGCGGGAGAGAGAGGCAAAGAGGCGCAACCCGCCCCGCTCCCCTCCCGCAACCTCAAAGCCGGGGCCTAGGCCGCGCGGCCTGAGTGTGTGTGGCGCTCACCCGCTTCCGATGCCGAGTCCCCGTCGCCTGGCACCGCTTCCTCCCGGCCCCCGCGAGGCCCCGGCGGGGAGAGCTGCAAGATAGGCCGCCGTCCCGCCGGCGCCGCCCGCGACTTCTTCCCCATCGAAGGCCGCCAAACCTCACAGGCGACGCGCAAGGAAAAAAGAAGGCCGAGGCGCTGTTGGCGGTGTGTGAGTGTGTGTGGGGGGGAAAGGACTCAGCCAGCCGCGATTGGGCCTGCCGGCGGAGGGCGGGGCGTCGGCGCAAGGGCCGTCGGGATGGCGGGGCGGGGCTTGGGCCCGTCGTCGACCCGGGTCAGGCGCGACAGGTCTCCCACGTAGGAGGCGTCGAGAGAGCGCGTGAGGACGCGAGAAGCCAGGTTGCGAAGGGGGGCGACTGCGCGCCACTGTCTGGGTTCGGTTCGCTCGCTTTCCCGTTATGTTGCCACTATTTTTCGCCGTAAACGAAAGATAACTTTGGTTTAAATCTGTTTACAAAGAGGGAAAGTGGTGAATGAATACGAGACCAGAGACCAGTTTATCTGGAAAGAATAGTGAGATAGAAATCAAGAACAAAGTACCGGTCTGAGACTTAAATGGGGTCATTTCGTTATGTCTTGATAGGATGATGTATTTTTGTATTCTGCAGTTCTTGTTGTAAATTGCCTTCCGTTTACTGGGGCGAGAAAGGAAGAATGTAAATTAAATAAACAATATAAATAAACAAATGGTTCAAAGCATTGGGGGACTTGTTCTTTGAACAAGTTGTGATTTTGAGACGCAAGTTTCTCATATGCGAAGTCCATTAATATGTTGCCCTTTGAATTCAGTCCACTTCTTGTTATACCTCAGAAAATTGTGTTTCTGCATTTTCTGCTTCCAGTTATATATTTGATCTGATGCCTATGAGTACAATCATTTGTTTAGATATCTGAAACATGTATTTGCAATAAACAGAAAGCTAGTTTCACAGAACTCAATGAGTTGTTTCTGTTTAATATCTAAGTTCTAAGTCAAATCCTCTTTCATTCTGCTTTACTGTATTTCCTACTTTAGTGTTTCAATCACCTAGTTACCAGCAACTTTGTTTTGGTGTGTATTCTATTTCTTTGTGCATATTTGCATAAAAGCTTTCAAATTTCTTCTTCTGATTATATTGGCAGATCTTTCATGAAATCTGAGATAATGATCAGACTTACAGCCCCAAACTACATGATGATACCCAGTGTAGCATAGTGGATAGAGTGATGGACTAGGATTCTGGAGACCAAGGTTCAAGTCCTCACTTGGACATGGAATCTCTCTGGAGGAATGCAACTCGTAAAACTATTCCTTAAACACTGCACTTAACTTTGAAAGCCCTATTGAACTGCCCTGTCAGTTTTCACTTGACAGCACATAACAGCTTCCTCATGATATTGTTCTCAGCTTCTCATACTTCTTCACCATATTAAAGTATGTAAATGACATGTCTTATTTATTTAAATTGTATACTATATTCTGCTTCTTGATTTTCAAAGGAATAGAATAACTGAAAGGTACACATGTACAAATACGCCACACATTACAAGCACAATTTAGCCACAGATGAGCAAATTGCTGGAATTGCTTCACAACACTGTCAATTGACATTTCCCTCTACTCACCTCTGAACTAGACAATCATTAATCCATTGGATTAATCACATGAGATCCTTTCTAAACAATAACTCCCAACTTTTTCTAAAATAATACAGCTACATGTTTATTGCTAACAAGCTGATATGTATTTCTCATCAAATAAATAGACACATCTCAACCATCATTAGTAGCCCACACATTTGTGTTGTGACAAAGGCTGGCTGTTTGGAATAACTGCTTTGTGGACACAGAGATAAAATAAGACAGGTGAAGGAATTAAACTTGGCAGCACTGGCTATGTCTACAACCCCAAATTATGTTCAAACGGGGTGATGGGGAAAATTAAACTGGGCGGCCATCAGCCTGAGAAATAAAGTACCGTATTTTTCGCTCCATAAGACGCACCTTTCCATAAGACGCACCAATTTTTTAGGAGAAGAATTGGGCGGCCATCAGCCTGAGAAATAGATACAAAGTATATGAAATGTAGGTGGACAGAAAAGAATCAGAGAAGTTGCAGGTCTTTGGAGAATCAAGATAAGGCTATCAAAAACTAACAAAAATCACTGAAATAAAAGGAAGCCATGTGCTCAATACAAAACATCAATAAAATAGAGGACGCATTTGTTTTGCTACCGATTTCTAGTTGTACTTCAAAAAAATAACTTTTCCTTCTGCCACACGCCAGTGGATGCTGTCATTTGGGAAGCTTGGTATGCAGCTCAGAGTAGGGTTCCGCTGCCCTTCTTAGCACAGATAAATTCATATTTCTTTAAAAAAGATATACCCCACCTTTCCATTAAAATCATCAAGATAGCTAATGATTACTTTTAAAAAAATTAACCAACAAACCATACATTTAAAAAGGAATAGTTGACATAAATGCCATTATTCATTCCAGAAAGTCATTTAAACCAGGGATCCCCAACCCTCGGTCCACAGCCTGGTGCTGGTCCATGGGCTTCCTTGAACTGGGCCGCAGACACAGATCTCTGCCCCCCCGCACGCATGCACAATGTGCATGTCACGCTTGCGGGTGGGCATGTCATGCTCATGGAGGGGCATGTCAGGCTCACGGGGTGGGTGTGTCACGCTCGCAGGCATGCACATGAGCGCAACACACCCCTCTGCAAGTGCGACACACCCCTCCACAAGCGCAACATGCCCACCCGCGAGCACAGGGGTGCCTCCACCCCCTGCACACAGAGCCTGCCCCCCCAACCAGTCCGCAGTCCGAAAAAAAGTTGGGGACCACTGAGTTAAACAATCAGACTGCAGCTGCTTGCTGGTAACCAAGGCTTTCAAGAGGGTGAGAACTATCAAGAGGGCAAAACCAAAATCAGTTCTCCCGTGTCTCATTCTACCAATCTACTCTTGCATGTGTCTGTAACTCCTTAGAAGCCTTGCCAAAGACTACCTTTAATCAGAAAGCACAGAATAGCAAAATTAGCAATAAAATGAAGTGAAACCATATTAATTCTACGTAACTACTCAAGTTCCTTTTCAAAAATAATACATACTGTGCTATTTGAATAGTGAGAAATGTTTTATGTGAGCCAGAGCACTCTTGTTCATAAGTTTTTTTTAAAGTCTAACTGCATGGTACGGTGGAAGGAAGAGCAACTTAAGTTGATGGCAAGATGGGGTAAAAAGAGTAAGTATTTAAATCATCTAGAAGATAACACTTAAATGCTTATGTCTGATTAGGGATAAATTGAAATACACAAAATAGTTGTCTGAAGACAAAATAAAACTTGTACTAATAAAATGATATGATCATGTTTGCATTTTGAAGGCCAGAATTATATTGCATATTTATGCTGATACAATTGTCAGTTTGGGCAGGAACATACACTTCGAAAGAAAATGAGTAAATGTCCGTAATTCCATAGCTTTCTTCCATGGAATATCAGATCACAGTTTCTGCCTCCTTCCAAACATCCCACATTTTCTTGCATGGAATGATGTACTATTTTAAGTTTTGTTTTGTTTTTTGGTTAAAAACTGATCTGGAGGTTTAACAAAGCTTTCCATTTATTAAGGACAATTCAAAAACTGTCACAATAAATAAGACCACCATTAGCGCTTACAGATAGTGCAGTAGAGGGAGGGATATGATACAAAACAATTCAGTAGAAAGACAATAGGAACATGCAACATACAAATGTTTTTTTTCATTACTGGAAATTACTGCCACCCAGCTCAGCAGACTTTATTGAAGCTTAAACATAATACCCCAACATATTTTAAAAAAAGGTTTATCATCCCCTGATAGAGAATGCTTTGGATCATTATGAAAAAATAGAATTTGTAATAATAGCACCACCAGCAGTGCATAGGGCTCTCCATGCCCCTGGGCAACCCATGCAAAGCCAATGCTTCACATATACGTCATGCCAGGTACACACATTAGTCTCAAGCACAGTTTTTTCAGATTTGCCTAAAAGGCCACTAGGCACAAGGTGATAAAAGGAAGTCACACAATCAAGTGTGTTTGCTAGTTTCGACGATACAGAAGATCCCGAGTTGCCTTATCGACCTGGTCTTGGTAGAGCTCTAGTTTGTCATGAACCTTTTGGTACAGCTGGAAGAAAAAAGCAGAACAAATCATTTCTGGTTAATGGAAATATTTGAGGCATGAAGAATAAAAGAAAAAACTATTATTTAATAAACACAATGACTAGAATATTATTAGTGTTTGCATAAAATTTGCATAACCTGCTATGGCTAATTGTGGCTAATGAAGGGATGTAGTGCCAGAACACAACCATGTGCACGGCAAGGCATGCAATGGAGACATGCCTGAATACCTTGCCAATTAGTTATGGAAAGTCACATTTTACATAAATACCAACAGGATGCTGGCCAGTATTACATACATTCCCCTTTTTTGGACTAGCACTAGTTCCCAAAGATTTTTTTAAAAATTAGCACAGAATGCAATCTAGGCAAAATCCTGTTAACAAAAAAGGGCATACACAAGGGCAATTGTACAGTAGCTTTCTCCTCCACGAGGCAGTCCCTTGTGCAAACCATCATGAGACCAAGGGCCTAACTGGGCAGGAGGAGGGAATGCCTGCATAGCTGGCCTTCTGTAATCTTGTAAGTGATTAGATTTCTGGTTTTAAAATATTAGACATTTATGAGTGGGCGAACACACTGTCTCTTTCACCACTCAGTAGCTGATGACATACATAGTCTAGGTTTTACAACATGCTCTCTGATGAGAGGGGGGCTCAGAAGCTCCCTATATGACATATATAGTCTAGGTTTTACAACATGCTCTCTGATGAGAGGGGGGCTCAGAAGCTCCCTATAGTAAATCTGTAAGTGTTTAGCCTTCTTCAGGATTGCCAATCTAATTACAGTGGTGCCTCGCTAGACAGTTACCCCACATGACAGTTTTTTCGCTAGACATTGACTTTTTGCAATCGCTATAGTGATTCGCAAAACAGTGATTCCTATGGGGGAATTCGCTGGACAATGTTTGGTCCCTGCTTCACAAACCAATTTTCGCTAGACAACAATTTTGACAGCTCCCTCTGTGCTCGCAAAGCGGGTGCTTTGGGGACTTAAGCTTTGCAAGACAGCTATTTAAACAGCTGATCGGCGGTTCGCAAAGCGGCTTTCCTATGGCCAATCTTCGCTAGACAACGGCAATTCTTCCCCATTGGAACGCATTAAACAGGTTTCAATGCATTCCAATGGGGAAATGCTTTTCGCTAGACAATGATTTTCCCTAAACAGCGATTTTAGGTGAGTCCCAGAATCAACGGAGGAACTTTTATACGATCTGAAGAGAAACCAGAGTATAACGGAGGAACTTCTAATTGCCAGCAAACCTCTTTTGCTGGATGACGTGACTGACAGCAATCTAACTGCCAGCAAACTCCTTTTGCTGGATGACGTGACTGACAGCAATGGATTGTCAGTAGTTAAAGAGTTCCTGCATTATTATTAGGGTTTGCCCAATGTGTCCACAATGATATGGATGGCAGGCAAATTGCAGGTAAATGATATGGTCTCATAAATTGAAGGAGGAACTCTTTAATTGCTAAGAATCTCCTGTTGGTGATGTCATTGTCCTTTTGTGGACATAATGCACATCATAGGATTTTGGTCAGTAAGTTCTATTCTTGATGAAAATAAAAACTGAATAAAAATAGAAGTAAAAGATACTAGACAAATTCTGTTTTTTACTAGATGTATGTACCATTAAGTTATGGTGATTACTTGCATTTTCCCCCAGTGCTTGAAGAAGCTGGTCAATTGCAGAATATGGTAGCCAGACTATTGGAGTTGTAGCTGATAGTGGGAACTAAAATCAAACAGAAAAATTGAATCTTTAAGCTACTGGACATTAACTGAATAAGATAAACAAACATATCAAATGTGACCTAAGTAAAGCTGGGTAGACAAACACAGAATTTACCAACTGCCAAATTAGTAGAGCACAGCCAAAATTTCAGATGGGCTATTTGAATAGAAATAAAACAAATATCTATCAAAATGTGCATTAAATGTATTTCAGGAAATTCCAGGGCAGCTTACCAAAAAGGAGAACCAACAGATACAAAAGCTTAATTAAAAACCAGGGATCAGTTCACTAAAACTCAACCTGGCATTCTATGGAAGAGCCATCCAGGAATACATAAACACTTAATGTAGCCACAACAAGCTGAGACCACATCATTATTGTTCTTTGTACTATACCAAGAACATTTGGCTGCTAAGAAGAACATGTTCCACTTTTAAAAAAAATACCCACATAATAGATTAACTTGATAAATATCCACTGTACCTCAATGCCAAAATAATCATGTCCCTTCCCTAGCAGGGCATCCACGTACTCCAAAACCAAATCCACAGCTTCTTCCAGGAGATCATAGTTCAAATACAGGCGAAGAAGTTCAGCAGCATCCACCTTCTGCAAAGAAACAAATGAAACTCAGCAAGCATTAACTAATCCTGCCAGTTTTATGTCACAAAGAACGTTTCCTTATATTCAAGCAGCCCAATAAACGCCTGTCAAGTTACTGATGAGATTTACATGAGCTTAGTACAAGGCAGCAGCAAGGCTATGGAAATGTGACACTTTTAGAAATAATTTCAAATCTGTGGACCAATTTATTCCTGGTATTTCCTTCCATGCATTCAAGCCTATGGAACCCTTTTAAAAATTATTTCAAATCTGTGGACTAATTTATTCCTGATAAGCACAAATTAGTATTTCCTTCCATGCATTCAAGCCTATGGTTGCCTCAGCTTCCTGCCTCTAGTACATCTGAATGTTGCTTTCAATTTCCTAATATATTTCTGCAATTGACTTCACACAGAAAAAGCTACAAATAAAAGCCAAACTATCTAATAAGACTGAAACAGCCTTGATGGAACTCTGATCAGTGCTTATTTCTTTCAGGTAACATTACATCAATTTTATTTCAATAGTTCTGACCCCTGATTCATTTCTACAGCTAATTCAAAATGTTGGTTGCTACCATATAAAGCCCCAAATGGCTTGAGACCAGGTTACCTGAATGAACACTTTCCTCCCCCACTGCCGTGCATTTCAATGCAATCAAAGTGTGGATTACATAGACATCCTGTTATTAAGAATTCAATAGTTGTACTGAGGCACCATCATGTCAAGGAGAACTTTTTAGTTACAGCTGTACTATGGAAATCTGGAATATACATACAATATGCCAAGAATTCTCTGTCTTTATTTAATTCTTTTGAGGTACACTGGAATCTTTGCGGGTTATATGTGTGGGATTAATTTTCCAAAGGGTCACTGTCATTCTAATGGTCCTTTACCAGTGCAAGTGTCACCTTCTTTTTCCAAACTCACTTGGTCCCTACTCTTCCACCATGTACCTTGTGTATTTAAAGCTGTAGCCTAGCTATTACACACTATCTCATTTGTGGGGAAGAAGTGGACTGTGATTCACAAAAGTTCACACTGAAATAAATAAGTCTTATTCTATGAGGCATCTCCTGTATTTTAATCCTGCCATTTGTTAGTTCTCCATGCCATGTTTCTTTTAGATTTTATTTTAGATCATGAAGTTTTTTCTTGCAAACAGTTGGGGGAAAGGCTGTACAGAAATGTTTTAACGCTTCCTCAAATTTGAGTTCTGCTTTCTGTGAACCACATTTCTCTTAAGATTCCAAAATCTTCACTTGAGATCTATTTATTCCGTATAATACTACAGGGCTGTCAGACTGCCAGCTCCTAGGAAATGCTGTGAGTGATCTGATATTATCCTAATGAAAAAACAGTCCTTATTCTATTTACAATGTTAAGAACATGGAATTTACACAAAACAGGGAAGTCTTCACTTTCTTGATTACTTATTTTTTGTACCTACTCTGAAACAAAGTACTGTATAAATAAAACTGAAATTCATTCAACACCCAGTTCAAGGAGACGCTTGGGAAGTATTCAGTCAACTTTGTCTTTCACACACCCTCAATCTCAACTGAATTTTGTAGGCATTCCGATATTTACTTTGTAACTGTTGATGAGCCAGTTAGGCAAGGGCACTCCATGAGACAGCAACTTGTTGATTACACAACGATGGTATGGGCTGTTTTGGCATTTGTATTTGTCCAGGTAGTAGGATAGGAGACGCCATGCTTCATCTGTTGCACTACAACACAATTGGAATACACTTTAATATTTGCTGGCTACAAACAGAAAGAAAGGTACATGTTCATTTTTGGCTACCAGCATAAGCCTTTCCAGTCTCTGAACGGTTCACAGTGAAGAACCTGTACCCTTTGATTCTTGTTACATACATGCCTTGCTTTCACATGAGGTGGACTTCATGTCTCAAATGTTAAGTATAACAAAATGCTTTTTTAAAAAGATTCTTCCGGTATGCAAGGTGTCCTAATTACATGTACCATATCCCAGGAATTCTGATATATCTGTAAGGCTTGATTGTATTCACAATTATTTTATATGGTGATCCAAATGGAAAAAGGAGAGGTCCTGCTAGCAACCCTTTCCACCAGAGACACAAAAACACTTATTGCAGTGTCTAGTCCAGCATTATAACCACCATACACAGCCATCGAATCTGATGTTGTTACTGCTCTGTCTCTTTTACATTCTTCTTTCTCACTTTAACAGGCCAAGTCCTCTCTTCCTCTTGCCACTTTTCTTTTCTTTTGCCTGGTCTACCTTTCCCTTTCCTTTTTTTTGCTTAGTTTAGCTATGGTTAATCACATGACAGAACACAGTTGTTTGAAGTCTCCAGTTATACCACAGTCTCATATTTTCAGTGCAAAACAAAATGAAACTGACTTTGATTGATACTGGTGAGTAAACAGAACAGAGTTACAAAACAAAATGAAACTGACTTTGATACTGGTGAGTAAACAGAACAGAGTTCTGTTCTCAGAGAACACCTTTATACTTTACTGCACATACACAATCCTTAAGTAGATACTGGCTGAAATTTTGTTGCACAGGTTTATACCTAAGCAGGCTGATGATATTATCAGCCATAGGCATTTATTCCTAATTTAAAGCTTGCTATTCTTCTCTGCCATCAGGTTCCAAGGCTCCCTAAGGGTCCCTTTTGCCCTTGGAGAAGCCTTTTATTTATATCTGAAAATCATCACCACTGGTCCTGCGGCCAGAATCAGGACTTGGTGGCAATGATTTTCATATATATTAAGGGCTCCCACACCATCCCAAGACTCAAAGGTTTTCCCAGGGCAAAAGGGACCCCTGACCAGTGATGTGTGTGAGAGGTGGCTTTAAACTAAAATAAAAGCCCACAGTTGATAACATCATCAGCCTTGCAAGAGTGCAGCTCCTCCAACTGAGTCCAGCCATTTTTCTATGATAACAGCAAGAAATGTTTCAGTCTGCGCGAATCTAAAATGTCCATTAATTTTGCCATGCAAAACTCCGAACTACCTGGTCTCCTTGGTTGTGATGACTGATGGGAACTGATTTGCAGCTAGCCAGTCCCATGCTTCTGTCAGTGCTGCTTCTCCTCCAAACTGAAGTTTAATACATCTGGAAAACATGAAAGTATTAATATTAGGCTTATACTCACAACAAGCACATGTTATTAATGGAGAAACAGTGTCATCATGACCAAATCCACCCAAGCAGGAAATGGAACAGAGGGCAAAAGAATGTAAGGGCTGTTGGATCAGACCAAAACTCTAGAGCAAAGCTAGCATTCCCCAGCAACTGTACTCAAGAGGCATATTTTACCCTACAAATTCTTGTTTGTCTAACACTTTGTTTTATGGTTTGTTTGTAACCTGTAAATATGTTCGGAATTTCGAGGCAGCCTCCTGGGTGCCTGCAATCCTTTGCTTCTCTGATCTCTCACTACTCTCGCCATCACTCTCTCCACAGAGAGGGACAGCAAGTTAAATATGCAGTTTCTCTCTCTCTTTCTCTGCTTTTCCACAGGGTGTTAGGTCTAAAAGTGAATTCATTAATATTGATCATCAGAAAAAGAACCAGATTTTTGACAATGTTTGGAGAGGGTGAATTAAGAAACTATGGGATCTATAGAGAATTGGATGTTTGGTTCTCACCCTTAGTGGCATGTTTTGTTATTAGCTTCTTCAAATGGGTGCCCTGGACCAACAGGTATGCTGCTTACTGACCCTCCAAATGCCATAGATCAGTTATTCAGGGGGGAGGGAAAGTACTCCCCACCACACACAATTCACAGGGGGGAAAAGTAAAATAAAAGACATACACATAACCTCTCCTCTCCCAAAAACCAGGAAAAGCAAGCAAGCCAGCAATGGCAAAAAATACAAACAAATCCCATTCTCTTCCAAACCAAAATGAGAAGAAGAACAATTTTTTTCTCCTGCCCCCAGCACTTGATGCCATTTTCTCTTATGAGACCAGCAGCCAGGTTGGTACAGGCAACACAATATAGGATGCAGGGCATCAACAGCCAGCACACAGTAATCCCACAAGGGTGACTGAAACAAAGCACTCTTTTCACTGGGTTCCAACCCGTCCAGACCCTTTACAGATTCAAAATTCCTGCTCCTCCCCTCCGAGACACTCCCATGTGCTCCCATGCCTCATTTGTTCCTTTTTATCTCCAGGCTGATTCACTTTTCCTCATCTAATCACTCTGCATTCTCTTCTTTCTCTTCCTCACTGCTCCACTTCATGCAAAAACACAGATCCTTATAAAGGCAGATGCACTATTTCTGAATCTGCCTCAGACAACAGCGAGGAAAAATTCCTAAAATGTACTGTCCAGCGTCAATATTGGGCAATCTATTCTAACAACTTTTAAATGGTTACTGATTCAAGAAGGCAGAGTGATATAGTTCCAGTCTAGCAATGTTACCTGCCACTTTGGGAAAGATGTTTGGTTGGATAGTATGCGTCTTGCAGGAATCTATCTGTGGTACCCAAACTTTATATACTGTGATAATGGCTACGATCCAGAACACCATATACTGTATATGCCTTTTGATAGGAGTTTAAGCACATGCAGTGCTGTTGATTGTAAAACATCTTTGCTTATCCAGAATCATATCACAGACTGTTATTCACACTTACATTAGTCCTTTTTTTTCTTGCTGCGGCTATAGTTCCAAACTAACAAGCATCAATTACTAGCTTCTAGATAATCAAAGGAATAGTGGACTCAAACCAAGAACTATGGACATGAAGGTGACAGAATCAACACAACACAAAACACCTTTAAGGACTACCATGCCATGCCATATCAAATAAAAAACTGCCACAGTGACTTAAGTGGCAATTAGCACTAGGCATTGCTCTGCTTTGTTTGATGCTGCTTCTACAGATTTTAAAACTGATTACTATGAATATATTCCAAGGATCTGAGAGCTTGATAACAAGAGGCAAATGTTCCCCACTTCTAATGATACTTTCCATACGTCTGTTGTACTGAATTGCAGTCACGTGGTATATATACCTGGATCAACATTCTCATTTGTTTAATGTTACTGATTCATTTCTTCCTATTTGAAATGTTACAGCCAGCTGCAACAGGGAACCAATTTATTTTCTGTCTTGTCTCTTGGGGCAGTGCAACCCCTGATTTTACGTTTTTTAAAAAACATCATTAAGTGTTTCTTGATATTGCAGCACTCAAGTCTGTGGATATATCCAGGAACGTGTTACGTACTTGAAAGTAAGTCCCTCGAACACAGGTCTTAAGGAAAGGTTGTAAGTTTGGCAGAGGGACATAGCTGTGTCAAAGAGGCCAGCCTGAACCAACAAAGTAACCAGCTCCTTGGGAGATGAGTTTCCTGAAAAGGTAATGAAATGGAATAATATTTCAAATAGAAATTTGATGGTTAACAACGGTGGCTTGTAATTGCACACATATATTTATCAACTTGAGAACTATTTGACGAGTCCTACATTTATAGCTACACACCCATCTCTGACTACTGAGTGCCCAAGCCTGCAGTTGACATAAGAACCCAGAATTCTGTTTAACAGAATTCACTGTGACCACCTATGCAGCAATATCACAATGATGACACTGGCTGTACTACTGTCTACCCCATGTAAGACTTTAGCTTTAAATCAAATAATAGCAACGCATAGAAATGGAGAAAATGGGGCAGAGCAGCCTGCTTCTCTTGGACAATCAGTTACACATCTAGACTATAAGTTGCCAGTCCTTATACAATGGCATTAAAGTGCTATGAATATAAATTCCAACCTTACCCGTAATTGCAGCTGTTGATGGATCATGTTGTGCCAAAGTTAATCGTATGCGAGCCAACATACATTCCCTTTCCAAATCTTGTAGCTCCAAAATTTCAATCTGACTCCCAGCTGTACAAAAACGTAATTTATACTACAGCAAGTTCAACATTTCTGTTATGTAAAAAACAATGCTCTTGAGAATTTAGAGCATACATAAGGCAGCATAACGTTTAATTTCAGCTCTTTAAAATGATGGAAAAACACCTAGTATACTAGTTGTAGTTTAGTCAGTTCTAAAATTTTCCAGTTTCTTGCTGTTAGGCTATCTCAGTCATACTATGCATTTAAAGTGAGCTTTTCTACTTGACTGAATGAGCTAATTTGAAACTGAAGTCATAGTTTAGTCAGTTCTAAAATTTTCCACAGTTTCTTGTTGTTATACTAGCTCAGTCATACTATGCATTTAAAGTGAGCTTTTCTACTTGACTGAATGAGCTAATTTGAAACTGAAGTCATTCAGTCCAATTTAAAAAAAAAACTTCCAGTGATTTGAGAGAAGGAGCCTCTTTCATGTATTTTTTCCTTTCATGTTTACACAAAAGTCCCATCCTTAGGCAGTATAGCCAGTTTTGAGGAATGACTGAGGTCCAAGAGCAATATTTGGAGGTCTCTGTTCCATGATTTGATATAACTTGAGAGAGATCCTTTGTAAAAATCATGATGATCCATAAGGATCTGTGCCCAACCATGGCACTTAATTTTACCTCTGAATCAAAAGTGGACAACTTCTTTTGGTTGGAGGCCATACTGACTACCCTGTGGGGGTGCAATCCTCCATCTGCATCATGATTGCTAAAGTTATCACTGAACTTTGGTAACAACTGCAGAGGTTCGGAGCCACAGAAAAGTATTAGAAAAATACTTCTGTAGGACAGGGTCACTGAGTCTACAGTATCATGTTTATTTATCACTGGGCTGTGAAGAGGAAACAGCATAAATGAAGATTCTGGAAGGCAGCTACCTTTTTTTAAGCAGGCAGGAAATGCCACAGAAAAAGAACACCATCATAGTTTTGGCAGAATTGCTTTGCTTTAAATAATTGGGGGAGGGGGGGATAAATACTGTAAACTGGAAATGCCTACCACTCCCCCCTCACAGTATCACGCCAACAGGAGAAGCTGCAACTGAGGGATTTTCAACTCCATTATATGCTCAAAAATCCTCTTAACTTTGTAATCACCTGACAAGTTGAATCTTTAGAATTTTCACAGCTCTTGCCCAAACTAATTCTGTAACAGCTCCAAAGAGGTTCCCCCATTTTACAATTATTTTCTTCAAATTAAAGCATTAATATGTGTGTGTGACAGACAAAATGGTACACTTTCACATTGAAGAACTATGGCAAGCAATTGCTACTATGAACAAATGCAGATATAGAGAATAAATAAAATACATGACTAAAATGTGAGAGCACAGGAAGATACAAGATAAAACTATAAAACATAAAAGCAAACCACAAAATTACATAAATTGAAACACTCAAGTCAAACATAACTGGACTTGAATGGTAGGATTTGAAAATAATATGCATCACTCTGAGAATGCAGGAAAGTTAATCACTCACTTGGGGCAGGAGTACACTCTCCATCATGGCTTCTCTTAGGAGATGCTCCTGGACGTTCATACTATTGAGACAGAACAAATACCATATTTTTCTGTGTATAAGACAACCCATGTATAAGACAATTCCCCCCACTTTTCTAACTCCAAATTAATAAATAAATGTGTTGTAAGCCGCCTAGGGTGGTCGCAATGACCAGATAGGCGGGGTATAAATGGAATAAATAAAATAAATAAATAAATATTAATTTAGCTTTGATTATTCAGCCTCTGGGCTCAGAACACTCGGACATTACGAGTCCCTGTTGAATCTGAGCACTGCTTACAAGCTCCACCTCCAAGGAGATATATTTCAATCACTTTGATCCCTGCTTTCCCCCTTCTTGCTAAGCCCCTCAGGGTTTAGCAAAAGAGGGGTAAAGGTATCAAAGTAAACCTGCAGGATTGTGCAGCCATGGGATTGCTTTGATCCCTTCCCCGGCAGGGTACAGCAAGTGGAGGGGGAAAGCGATCAAAGTGCTGCATGATTGCTTTGATCTCTGCTTTCCCTCTTCATGCTAAGCTCTGTGGGGCTTAGCAAAAGGAGGAAGAAAGGGATCAAAGCGCAGCACGATCCTGACTAGGAAGCTAAGCCTCATGACAGCAGGATCCTGACTAGGAAGCTAAGCCTCATGATTGAAGGAAGTCTGCCTGCAGAGGCAAGGTATGGGCCATTTTGTTCTCTCCTCACCTTACTTCCATGTATAAGATGACCCTCAATTTTTAGTTTAAAGATTTTAGATGAAAGTATCATATACATGGAAAAATACAGTATTCTAATTTTAATTCAATACAGAAGACTTCAGTTTTTACATTTTCTGCTTATTTCTCACGAGATCTCCCTGCATCTGCAGTGTTAAGAAGCATACATTTGTCAGGATTCATCTTGGCCCCATTATGTTTCTAGTCCTTATAGCTACAGATGAAAATTCAGGGCACATGGTGAATAATGACACAGCAGAAGCCAGGTTTAAGATAATTTCAAAGCTACAACAGACTCCAATATAAGCTTTTGTGACTTAATAGTTCCTTTGTATTTTCCCCAAAACATTACTATTCCCCACATCATATACATACAGTTTACCTACTTTCAATGTCATGTTCTTCTCATTTTGCCTCACCCCATGCTTTACTAAAAATACTGGACTGTTCTGATGACTTGACTAATGGAAATATAATAAAATGTGTAGAAGAATTCTAAGGTTTACTTCCTTTGTTTACTTTAAGCTGGCTGCAGAATTTACTACAGTGGGGTCTCCACTTACGAACTTAATCCGTATTGGAAGGCAGTTCTCAGGTCGAAAAGTTCTTAAGTCAAATCTGCATTTCCCATAGGAATGCATTGAAAACCATTTAATCCGTATCTGCTCTTTTCGTCCATAGAAACTAATGGGAAGCTGCTATTCCGCCTTCTGCCACTAGAGGGGGATATTTGTTCTTTTTTCTTTTTAACCTAAGATGACTTAGCTTTAAAAAAAAGGAAAAAAAAGAGTTCGTAACTCGAATCTAAGTTCGTAAATCGAGTCCATATATTCCTATGAGAGCGGTTCGTAAGTCGAAACGTTCGTAAGTCGAGCTGTTCATAAGTCGAGACCCCACTGTATTCTAAAACGGGAATCAGCCCTGATCACAGTGAACCATAAGTTACAAATAAATGTATCTACATTTCTGGTGTAAAGTCTAGTTCTTTTCTCTATCCTTGACTTTTATCACTGAAATCTTCATTTTGGGTTATAAATCCATATTCAAAGGAGTACACAGTTTATGACTGAAACAGTTGAATGGCTGGTTAACCAAGCTTTTCTTACTTCTCCTTCTCTTACTACTACTTACTTCCTATGGCATTCTTTTACTACTGTTCCCCCTCCCACCCCAATTTTGGATGCTATCCTTCCAACAGATAGGGTATGCTTAGTTTAGACAAATTATAATACCTCTTCAACTGATTATTCATTATTGACAAATCAATACAAAGAAATGTAACAACAGAAGGCTCAGTGATAGGAGTTGTACCTTAAACATCCAGGGACGTAGCAAATTGACCTTTATGAAAGAGAGAGCGATTAAAGTGAGGAATTCTTTTTTTAAAAAAAGTGAAGTTCCCTACCACAGCCCCTGAAGCTGGCTGTACAATCCAGGCATATTCAGGGCGTATCAACCGCAAACAATTAACAGCTGCAAGGTAACAGTTTGCTTGCTTCTGTAGTCCAGGAAGAGTACGCACTTCTCTGCCAAGGCGCATTCCATATTCAAACATCACTGTTCCAGCTGAGGAAGGAAACAGGCATCAGGACAGCAACACCTCCTCCCACCCTCAAAATCCACCAGTTTGAAAACAGAGTAAGGTATGCTACAAATGAGGAGTAGGAACAACTTGAAAACTATCTATGATCAGCACAGAAAAAGCTAACCAACACACAATCAAAGCTTGGAAAACTTCTGAGATTGACACTGGGAAGGACACGTTCTTAACAGCAAAGACTGGCAAATGAGACTGTGTGTTGATATCTGATAGCATGGATATTATATTCGTGTAACTATCCTGACCTCTCTCACAGAAACCTGGGGTCATTTAATGGGAATTTGGTGATGGTGCAAATGATCCCCAGCACTTCTCAGGATCTCCAAGGAAGAGAGATGTACTAGCATAATAATGGACTGATTAAGTGTCCTGTTAATATATGTCTACAACAAATACAATCTATGCACAGAGATGGATGCCTGCGCTTCATATGCGTGGTAAAAAAACAAGTGTTGTCACACAAAACAAGTTGAGCATATTTCATTTCAACTCAGAGAAACCCTCTTCTTTACTAAGCTACCTAAATCAAAGCACTTCCCTATCACAGGAAACCCAAAAGGGCAAAAACACACAAGATCAAATGGCCTGATACTGATTTTTATCCAAAGTTTATAATAACAGTTTCAAAATATCAAGTACAACTCAAATAATAGTTATGGAACAGAGGCTCAAAACCTGTTGTTTAATTATGCATGTGGAACACAAATGAAATAATAATATTCATTGCTTTTTACCAGCCAATCAATGAGTTGCCATTAGGATTATCAGGATGCAGAAGCACATGAATCCAATTCATATCAAGGTACTGTTCACTATTACTGATCCATACCATTAAATGAGGTTATTGTGATGCTATGATACTTTAGGCAAACAAAAAAAAATTCAGGAGGGGGGCAAATTTGCTCTAAAATAGTATTAAACCTTCATTATCTATAATGCCCAGCTCTCAGATATTCTTGACTTGTTCGCTTTACATTATGTTTTTATTTCATTAGGGACAGATAACAGTAAATACTTCATTGTACACAATGATAGCAGGCACAGTACTGAAAAATCCAATGTACTACCAGTTGTGCATTATCCAAAATATTTGCACAGCACGACTGTGCGAGGCCTACTAGTGTTATACTGGATTTAGGCCACGTTATCAATGCTACTTTTGCCAAGAGGACAGGGGTGAGAGGGCTGGCAATGATGAAAGCAAAGTGGTGATCAGGCGTGTTGCTGATGCTCTTCCATGCCTGTCAATTCTCCCCTGCAAATCTGCCTTCAAGCTGTCCCCACCCCTCATCTCAATTTTGTGAACTTGTAAATGGCAGACGAACTAATATTTCAACAGCTAACACGATTTCCATTTCATACAACCTGTCATACCTTTCCGGTAGTTATGGCGATAAATGTGGAAAGCATACAGCAGTTCATAGTAATTGTGGGTCATCAGATCTACTGCCCGAGCACGATACTCAATGATCCCCACAACCTGTAACATAATAAATGGAAGTTATCAGACCCAGCTGAAGATATCCCCAGACACATCTATCTGGCTCCAAGAAGGCGGCAATTCACCTCATTATGAAGATTGACGTATGGGAACTGCACTAGATCTTGGAGCTGAGAACGTTCACAGAGAACCACCACCAACTGTCGCAAACAATCCAACTGCCTAGAAAAGAAGACGACATTTTGTGTCTTAGGTGCCAAAATAAATTTAGTGCTTTGGAATATCAATTTACTTTACAATAAAGTAGTTCATAAAAAGGAAGATCCAAGCTTATTACTTCCTCAGTACCATGTATAATTTTTTTTTACTTTTCTACAAACAGACAAGCCACCAGTGAAGACACACAGGCTTCTTTAAACCCTGTCTCAGATGCAGACTATTTTGAAAAACGTGGCAAAAACAACTGGCACTTTACAACACATAGCTAAAAATAAGAAATATATAATGGTACCTGCTGGGATCTGGATTATGGGTCATAGCTTCATAAGCTTGGCTGTTATGCCCCAAATCCAAGTGATGTTTGAAAATGCAAGTCCTCAAGGTGGCCTACAATACAAATATAACAGTTATGGCAACCTGTAACCAAGCTACAAACATCTGTTACAATTTTTATGACAAACAAATGTTGCATCTGAAGGTGGGAATTTCAACAATGGAAAAATGAAACTCTTACTTGACTTCTCCAATCGTCAGCTGCATCGGTGATAGCTAAAGTAGCCAACTGAATGATCAGTTCAGGCAGACCCATGGCATCCAACAGACGCAGAACCTCGAAAGAAAACATTCAAGCTACTAATGCTTTATTTGAACTATTTGTGAAGACTGTAACAAAAAAATCAACCATTTTTGCTTCATTAAAAAAAATACCTTGTCATAATACTGTAAACGTGGGCTTGAAGCCATTTCCACATCCTCAGATCTAATCAGTCTGTCTAAAAACTCCTCTTTTCCCACTTCTGAGGCTGCCTGGCAAAAACACTCCAAAGCCTGGGGTGGGGGGGAAAGAACAAAAAGCAGACTTAACATTTTTCACCCATTAGAAATTCAAACTTCTTCCTTTGTTCTTGTTGCCTTCTGGTACAGAACACAGATCGGCTAAAATAAGGTTACCAACAGAGTTCTAAAGAGAATTTTTATTTGTACCTAAGAATTTTTCAAGCACCCTCTAGCCTATGTCTACCGCCCCTCCCTTTCTCCCTCAAAAGATTTGCCAAAAGGTTGGGGAGTCCTATCGGACCTACCAGTAGAGAGTGAGTGAGTGAGTGAATGAGTGAGTGAGTGAGTGAGTGAGTGAGAGAGTAGCAACGTAGTTAGAGCAAGACAGTTTCAAAACATAAGGCCTTTGCCAAAAGGTTGGGGAGTCGTATCAGACCTACCAGTAGAGAGTGAGTGAGTGAAAGAGAGAGAGAGTAGCAATGTAATTAGAGCAAGACAGTTTCAAAACATAAGGCAGTAAGATGACTATGGCCAAAATCCTAGGGGTGCTTGCCATAAGCTATGTGCATCCGGCTGCAGGTAACTGCCAATGTTCCGGGGCATGTCTCAGTTGTGCAATAGACTGTATGACCAGACACACAAATGACACAATCATATGGCATCACAGAAAAGTGAAGTTGGAAGTCCAACCCTGTGCTCAAGGCAGGAATATAATCAAAGTATATCTGCCAGGTGATTATCTAAGTTTTTCTTCAATGCTCCAATGGTGAGCTCCAGAACCTCACTAATTAGCCATGGCAAGTTACCCTAACTTTAATGCAAACTCCAAGATCCTGCTCATTGTTTTAAGAAAGAATTTAGCCTAGATCAACTTTCAAAGTAAGTGAGAGAATGTCTTACTTTTGACTGTGACAGCCACTGCCTAAATTAAGTTCTCTCTGTCAACTCAACCAACAATATTTACTGGCTGGGAAAAAAAAAGGTTTTTTTACCTTGTGTCCTTCTCCCATAACAAGGAAACAACGTCCCATCATAAAGCGGCAGGATCCCACATTGACATGACACCAGGGTTCCAACAAACGAATGTATTCCTAACATGAAAAGAGCACCAACTAATCAGACAGAACAAAGTTATGTCTTAATTTCCACTGTCTTCAGTGAACTCTACTTAAAAATACGGCCAAGAAGTAACTAGCTCCTGCTGATTCAGAAGTCTTGGTTAGAATCCTAAATTCTAGTGAGCAGAAGCCTCCAGAAGCAATCTGTATCAATTCCTTCTTCCTCCCATACAATGTGTGAGCATGTGCCTTCAGAGACTAAGGTCAAGATAATCTATACTGGGGTATTCCAAATCATTATGAAAGCTGGACAATAAGGCAAGCTGATAAGGGGGGGGGAAGCACTCATTTGAATTGTGGTTTTGGAAGAGTTTTACAGGTACCCTGGGTTATAGATCAAATCAAGTTTGAACTCTCACTAGAAGCTGTATAATTAAATTGTAAACCGCCCAGAGAGTGCTTGTAGCGCTATGGGGTGGTATATAAGTCAAAAAAAAAAATGCAAAAATGACTAAACTGAGTCCATCACACTGGGTATTTCATGCCAAAACTGTGGACTCACAAGAACGAACAGTAATTTTAGGAAAAGTAGAATACGACAGGAAAAAAGGAAGCCCAATTATTAGAAGTGTTGACTCAATAATGGAAGCCATGGCCTTTAGTTTGCAAGACTTGAACAGGACAGTTAAAGAGAGAACCTTCAAATCACCAATTCATAGCATTGCCATACATAGGAAGCAACTTGATAGCATATAAAAACAACCATCAGCGAGTTTATTTAGCAAAACTGATCTGTCCTTCCCTAGCAGCACATCAGGCAGGAAGGCAGAGGAAAAAAAATCGGTTGGAGAGAGAGAGAGAGAGAGAGAGAGAAAAACGGTTGGAGAGAGAGAGAGAGATAGAGAGAGAGAGAAGTGGGTGATAAAGAGTTGAACCACAGACATCTGATTCTGCTCCTGACAGATTGCTCATAAGGAAATGAAATATGGACAGAAAAAAAACTTGTCTACTTGTTCTAAAAGGCCATGCAAATATCAGCACCAAGAAGCTAGGTGGATGACATTTTTCTGCTTCCATGAGATTGGAAATTGATATCCTGACATAATTTTATCTGCTACAAAATTTGGATAATCTCAGTAAAGAACTTATTTTCAGAGAATACACATAGCACTCCTATCAATAATTAAACAACTATCTTAGTTCAGGTTCAATTTCAGTGACATTCCCTCGTATTTTAAAAAAGATCTAGTTATATTTCTTCTTTCTATAATCTATTAAAGCAGGCATGAGGAACATGAACCTTCAACTTCCATCTGCCCTAGCAAGTACGGGCAATGGTGAACGTCCGCTTTACTCAGCTATGTTTTAATGAATAATTTGAAGTATTTTCCACATAACTGTCTCACCTGCAGCTGAATATACTGACAGGCCCCCATCAAACATTCTGGGAAGAGGAAACAAGGATTTCTTGGCCATCTGAAGACTGTATAAGGAAAATATATAATGAAATAGTGGCCTGCAGGGTCCTCTGTGTGATCTGCAAAGTCATCATGGGTGAGACACAGATACATACAAATGAAAAATGCTAATATTAAGGAAATCAAGTAGAATATCCTGTATCAAGAGCATGAAAACAACTAACCCCTAGAAGATAACATAATAATATACAGTACTATGGGAACAACAACTAGCATACACGCACAAACTTACCTACCTACTAACATCCTGTGTTTCCACCAGAAAAAAATTGATGGCTATTCAAATCAGATCTTTAGAAGTCTTTACTCGTAGCTCAGGACCTTAGAACAAATCGGATCATTTTTGTCTACCACAGAAATTTAACTTCTACATCTAAGTTTGAATGTGTTACGTTAGAAGAAAGCATCACTTTCCATTTTTCAGGTAAAAGCTGCAATTGAAGGATACAAAAACTGCAGCAGATAACTTGAAATTTCAGAAAATATTTGTGGCCAGTTCAAACTTGTTTCATCCATAGCTGCATTTGACTGGAAGAGTTGAGATATTGCATGTTTTCGAGCCACCTCCTGAAAGAACAGCTCCACAATAGTTTGAGGGCCAGATACTACAAAAGATTTAAAATCAGTATTATTATCAGGACAACAATGCAATGAGAAACTATTATACAAACCTTTAGGCACTTATTACATGTCTAATGTAACACGATGAAGTAAAAACACATATTACAGTACTTTCCTGGCAGCCACTCTTTCAGATTTGGATTTTTAAAGCCTCTCACTTACTGTTTTTCCCCCTTTCCTGTATCAACAGAAGATCCAGTTACAGCTCCATCCTCATTTTATAACCTCTTTTTTTAGTAGCATAAACCATCCTTTCAGCTTTTCATTAACAACATGGAGCTTACAGCTCTGTTACAGAAACCATGCAAAATGCTAACATTCCATTTGAGTTTTTAAAAAATATAGTTACTTAAGTTAATGGCTCTTCCATTTTCCTTATTTCTAATAAATCTATATGGGGAGAAGCAGGATAAGCATGCCTCTTTCACTTTTATATTGTTTATATTTCTTGAAGAACCAGTTTGACCCCATTTCTACATTTAGATTTAAAAAAAGTGGAAAATTAGATACAAAATACTAAACACATTTTAATTCATTTCTTAATATATGCATCACTGTCAGCTTGTTTCTCTAATACGTGTTAGTTTGTACACATTTCCGTATTAATTTGTTTTTAAATAAGTGAACTGCATCGCAAATTTGGGGCAAGTAGCCTTCACCCACCCTTCCAGTCCAGGGACCATTCATAAAAAAATGGTCATCACAGAGCTTTGGTAACATTTAAAAGGCCTTTTAAGTCTCAATGATAATGATTCTCTGAACAATGTTTTCAGCACAACTGTGCCTTAAAGTACTTTATAAGCCCTGGAAACCTGAAGTCTACAAATGCTATTAGCCATTCTGCATAACCTTAAATATTTTAAGAACCAAATACTGTATAACATGTTGAAAACTAAAATTAAGAAAAAAGATGAAACCTAATTAAATTACTCTGCTGACAGGACTAAATCATTCACTGAAACTAGGACAGGCTGGTTCACCTTTCTCCCCCAAACCCTACCCTCTATATTTGCTCTAAACAGTTTGTGAGCACTTCAGAATCGATTTGCAGTAGGGAAGACACGTTTGCAGAAAAAAGGATGTCTGCTCAACATGACAGAAAATTCCACCAAAAAAGCTTTATAGTAGTCAGTCGACTAGATGGGCAGGGTATCAATCAATCAATTATTCTTACCTAGTTTAAGTGGTGCTAGGCATGTAGAATCTGTCAGTTTTAATACAGAAAGATGCTGGAGGTTGGATTCCCTAAAGGCAGATATATCAGAATAGATAAATGTTACGTGCGTTGTAACCTCACACTAGTTCTACAAACAAAAAAATTAAACAAAAAAAGCTAGGATGTCAAGATTAGAACATACACCTTCTCGCCATCTAAAACCATCATTGAAGCACCTTTATATTAACTAATGCCAACTTGCTTTTTTAAAGCACCACAAATTTCAAATAGCACCTCGAAAATATAAACAACCTGAAATTTATCAGTTTATAAAGAATTTTGCACTGGATTCCCAGTGTGATACAGTGGATAAAGTGATGGGCTAGTACTCTGGAAAACAGGGTTTGAATCCCCACTTGGCTACAGAAATTCACTGGAGAAGTAGAAATGATAAAGCCACTCATTAAATATCTCATCTACCTTGAAAGCCCTATTAGGGTTGCTATAAGTCGATTCTAATGTGACAGTACAGAACACACACAAAGAGCTTTCAATGTTTCTTCAAACATGGAAAAATCCTCTTTTCTCAAACGATATTTTCATACAAAAATGCCTCACCATGGGAAAATAGTGGGCAAAAGGCAACATGAAATTCTGTAGTGCTGAATGTGAATGGACTCCAAGTCCTTGGTACCATACTATGTAATGTCTATACTAAAGCTCAAACAGATGGAAATTACTTTCAGGTCAATCTTCTGGGACAGACAGTGAAAGTTATTTCCTCTTAATAAGCAATTTTGACAATTTCCACAGCAATGGTGACAATCTTATTGAGAAAAGCACATTTGTAGGGGAAATTGTATGAGCACTTTTCACAGATTTCTGGCATCATGCATGACTGGCATGTCTGAGAGTATGACATGTAGCTGAAATTATCTTCACAGCAGTTACATCATTTTGAGTTTACACTGCACAAACCCAATAGGATTCTGCCTAATGTCAATCTATGGGGATTGAAAGGGCAGGCATAATATCCTCAAAAATGCAATTCTAAGCGCTACTGTCTATTTTATAGGAACAATCTATGGGGATTGAACGGGCAGACATAATATCCTCAAAAATGCAATTCTAAGCTGTCTAAGATGACACTTGGTGAAACAAACATATTTTATTTCCATATGGAAAGAAGGCTCCCATGGAAACCAGAATAGAAACAAGATTATGAAACAAATTTTAAGACAAGCTAAGCAGAACTTGCTTAAATCAGTTGCTAACTATTGTCAGAACTTAAAACAAGCTAAGCTTAAATCAGTTGCTAACTATTGTCAGAAATTGTTGTCGTTTAGTCGTGTCTGACTCTTCGTGACCCCATGGACCAGAGCACTCCAGGCCCTCCTGTCTTCATTGTCAAAAATATCCTTTACTATTTCATAAAAGTCAGTCTCATAAAGGTCAGCTGACCATACCCACACTTCATGATATTAACCACAGAAAAAATGTTTAAACACTTACAGTTCATCAACTGGAACATCTGATGCTAAGCATTGACTTGCCCACCTGATCAGGTAATAGGATAGTATCAAAAGGGATGTGCGATGCAGTAGATTCTGCTGAGTGTGGAACAGCTGGCCTCCTCCCAAAGTCACCTAGAAACATCACATTGAGAGTATTAAATGTCATTAACTGGCAGGCAATGGTCAAGTCCTTTCATGTCATTTGGGACAGATGTAACAAAGTACATGACTACAATCCTTGTGGGACGGTCCTCCTATCCCCACACTCCCAAATATAAAGAAAGGTACCACAGTTTGGGCATAGGCATCACAGTGAGAGTATTAGATGTCATTAACTGGCAGGCAATGGCCAAGTCCTTTCATGTCATTCGGGACTGATGTAATAAAGTAATGACTACAATCCTTGTGGGACCATCCTACTCTCCCCACACTCCCGAATATAAAGAAAGGTACCACAGTTTGGGCAACATTTGGGAAAAAAATAAAGGAAATATTGGACTGCCAAGAATACTCTCATGTGCAAAGTCGTTAATACTAGGATCACCTGAGTAGCCCACTAACAGTCTGATAAAAGATACACTTTGTTGCCTAGAAAGCTATATTCACCTAGCACAGCTACAACATTTCCATTCTTGCTCCTTCATATTTTCCTCATCAGAAAGCTGTTTCTCTAAAGATGTGTATATCATGTTTTAGGAGTTCCTAAGAACGATAAGACTCTGAAGTTGCACAATTACTTCAAAGCATACTCACCGCATCTCCAAGCCGGAGCAAGAACTGCTGTAAAATCAACAAGTCCCGACAAATCAAGAAGCGAGTCACAGACATCTTGTATACACACTGACACACCATATTCACCATTGTGCTGCTACCATAGAGCTGTGAAAGGTGCATGCGGACATTTAGGGGTTGAACTGTAGAAAGAAAAAACAAGTTCAAAATATGTAGCTTCAAATATTAGCAACTTCCACATAATCAAAAGAATACGGGAAGGAAGAGGAGATTCCCCTCTTTTCTCACCGATACTGAATCCTCTTTCCAGTTCCATATCTGCCTCATAGTCCATTTCTCGGAGAAGCATCCCAATAGCATTAACAGGGTTTCTCATCTCTTGCAGTTCACTGTGAATATCTTCCATCAAATTGTCTCTGCATGGAAATAAGAAAGGTTGCATAATACATACTGAAACATTAGCAATCATGAAATATTGCTACGGTGGAAAGCCTAAATCACTCCCGGCTCTGTAAAATATATTTAATGCTATAACCTCTCATCAATTGTTTTGCTTTCTTCTCTAGGCTATGATAATCTCTTAAGAGCACATTCTTAAAACCACACCCTCCGCCCACAAGCGTTTTGCAAACTACATCTGTATCCATCTAAAGAAGCTAATCCGGCCCCAGCAATGGCCTTTGCGACTTATTGCCATAACTACTATCAAGATACGCATGCCAACTGTTAGCTAACACCTGATTCCATATCAAAAGTATTGCAGCACACTGAATTTACATAGTAGCTTTTTAGCCACAGAAATAAGGAAAAGTTTTATTCTTTAGCTTGGTCCAAATTAGATTGGGTCTTTGCTAGAGACACAGTGCTTCAGCTGTTTGAGGAAGCAGTATCCTTCCTCAACAAGGTAGAACACATTTTAAGAAACCAAGGCTAATCGGACAAGAAAGTGATGGAACAGGATCTGAAATGCTATTTTATGAAGGAAGATCAAGCTTAGAAAACCAAAGTGTAATTCCTTGCAGGGAATAGAACCAACTGCGAAACCCATCTTCTGAGGGGGGGGGGATCCCACTAGAGTTACATAGCAGTGAGAAAGCAATTACGTTCTAGTTGGCACATCCCAAGAGTAGCCAAACAGTCTAAAAAGAAATGAGTGCACCATTCTTTGTACAGATATATCACACAAACATTTATGCTTACGTGTCATTAGCAATGAGATCTCTCAGTATCTGTTCTGCAGCTCTCTCTGGAGACTTGAGACGGCAGCAAGCCATTTCCATTGTGTATGCCATCTCCGCATTAACTGATTTTCCAATTAACCGAAGGCACTGAACAAGACTCACAAGATCATGAGAAAATTCAGATTCTGCAAGAAAAAGGTTATGCTCAGAATGTACAGTATTTCACATGGAAGACATTTGTGCACTTGCTAACTGGCATGATGCAAATTCTTCTATATGTGCGCTCAGGAATGATCTTTATTAGGACTTGGACACACACTGAAAAGGGTACTGCTGGTTGGCAAGTACCAATAGCAAGAACTGTGCCCATACTGGTTTCTTTTTTCTTCCAACTTGCAGAGATAATAACCATCACGCCAGTACACATAGTAATGATTCCTGACTCTAAAGTTCTCCTAATGGAGGAGTACATAGCCTTACCATTTCCGTTTCTTAGTACAAGAGACAAGGAAACCTCATAGGGAGGTGGCAACTACGGATATGTGGAAGGAAGCTTTACTATTTCTTTCTTTCATTTTGGGGGGCTTCTCTTTAGTACTGAGTTTTCAGGTATAGACCCTCTCAGTAAACTTGAAAGTACACAAATCTCTTTCATTTCAAATTTCAAATTCTGGTTTCTGGTACTAAACCCTGTTAAGACCTGTAGACTTCTCAAAACTAGTATCCAAAACCAGTCCTCTTTCCATTACCATCCAGGCCAGCACTCTCAAATTCATTTATTAACAGTTCAGCAGGCAAGAGGTACAGATGATCAATCAGGGAGCAGGATACAAGAAAAGATAGGTATCCCTATGGGAAAAAAATTAATATATCATTCAGTTTCCAAACCCCACAGAATTATGGTTTGTTATGGTTTATTGCTTCAAACTACCCTTTTATAAGCAAGCATAGATGTTTCCATGAATACTTCAATGTGGACAAACCACAGCTACTAGTTCTCCCACCCAGATCTACCCGAATCACTCGACAAAGCCAGCAGGGATGGCTGAGGGGCCTAAGACCGAGAGAGGCCCGGAAAGAAAGAACAAGAAACTGGGCCTTCTCGGCAGTGGCCCCTTGGCTTTGGAACAGCCTCCCGACAGAAATTCGACTGGCACCCTTGCTGGATGTTTTTAAAAACCACTTGAAAACATGGTATTTTACGCAGGCTTTCCCTCACCTTTTCTTTAATCTTTCCATCTTGGCAAGGCTTTTATCTAATTGTTAAAATTTTGATATTTCAATGTTTTAAGACTTTGTAATGTTTTTATGTATGTAAGCTGCCCCGAGTAGACCTGGTCTAGAGGGGCGGGGTATAAATCTAACTAAAGTAAAGTAAAGCCACATTGTTAGGAAAATAAAATGTTTAAGGACAGGATGCACTGCATTCTTAGGATTGCAGACATATTTGAAAATATCATGGCAAACAAGAATGAAAGCACTGTCATCTAAGAAGAAAAGGCTCACATTACTTTATCTTTTCGCAAGTCCCATGATTTTCAAGCCATTATTAAAATTGCCATAAGTTCTAAGCCTAACTTGTTAATAGAGAACCACTTTCTTCCATGTATTCCTCCTTGTAAGCGCCAGGCTTCATCCAAGAGTCTACTTCAGATCCCCCAACCTCAAGAAACTAAGTATCCAGCCACAATGTCTAGAGCCTCTTCAGTAGTTGCACTCTGTCAATAGTTGACAGATCGTGCCAACAAAGATCTGTCAGGATCCAACACCTAAATACATCTAAAGGGTATTTAAGAATGTAGCACCAGAGTAGCCTTTCAATAGCCTCTGAATGTGCTATTAGCTCTACAACTTTTGGTGAAATTTATTATTGCCTGTACTGATTTAGCATAATTTTAAAATACTGCTGACTGTTGTCTTAGACTTTAGGGAAATAGGTGGGATATAAGCTTTTAGAATTAAAAATAAATATATACATTTCCAATGTAAAATAAATGTATCATACCCATCACTAGGAAGGGACCTGCCACTTTCACTGACAACCTGCATATCTCAGTGGCCCATAATCTTACCCAACCTAGGCTAGCTTTGGTCCTATTAATCTAAAATATTTTATGGACAACACTCCTTCCAACACTGCAATGCTATCTTGTTCTTGCTTTCTAAATAGACATGTGTTGCCGCCTACTAACAGGACTCTTACCTTTTTCAGCAAGCAAACCATGTTCGTGCATGGATTCAAGAAAAACGCAAGTGGGCGTGAGAGTTCTTCTTGGTACTGAAGGCAGTAAGCATAGAATTTTGACCAAGACTCTATTTGTAGCTGTCTATACAATTCTTGAGAGAATTCGTATTCAGCCAGATTACTCTGGAACTGGAAAAAAGATTTATGGCTAGCTATTGTTTACCAAAGAAGGACAGTATTAACACAGGGACCAAACATCACGGACTGATCAGTTTTACTGAAGTTTTAATGACAGCATGATTTCTTATTGCAAAGCAGCAAAGAAATAATCATTCCACCTCCTTCACAAACCAACATCTGCTCTCCAGTCATTCAACCTACCACACTCACTTGTACTTGTTTAACAGTGTCAAACTAGTATCCCATGAGGAGACGGGATACTACAGTGTTTCCTCGAAAATAAGACAGGGTCTTATATTAATTTTTGCTCCAAAAATGCATTAGGGCTTATTTTCAGGGGATGTTTTATGTTTTTCATGTACAACAATTTACATTTATTCAAATACAGTCATGTCATCTTCTGATTGTAGCACAATGGTGCAGGGTGGGATTTCACCTAACTAGGGTGTACTCTTGGGGTAGGGCTTATATTACGAGCATCCGGAAAAATCATACTAGGGCTTATTTTCAGGTTAGGTCTTATAGCATCCAGCTATATTATTCTAATTACAAGTTAGAACTAGCCCAATAACAATTCTCAATACTAGTTATAGCTAAACAGTGTTGATCAATTCACAGGAAACTTCACGAGACTCATCTAAAGTTATATTCACAATGTGACAGATTACACAGTCCCTGGAAATGTATAGTTTCTACTCAGAGCTAAGAAAGATCCTGAGGGTTGAGGACTGCATTGCAACAGTCAAACATGCCACAAGAGATAATTTGAACACATTACCTATCCAAAGACTAAGTATAAATGTATCTTCTCCATGCCCCTAAATAGAGACTCTTTTAATACTTTTTGATCCCTTCCTTCGTCCAAAGAGCTATGTTTTATTCTCAATCATAATTCTGTGGGATAATATAGGAAGAGAGCATGGCTGGTCCAGGGTCACCAAGCTGAATTACAGTCTCACAGGCCAAAACTGGCACTCTGTTGAATATATCATATTAGCTGTTTGTTTCCTTTGCAGGTTTGGAGGGGGCAGTTTATACAATATAGATTGGTATATACAGTATGTTGAAATAAAACATGTGAAAGAAAACACAAGTTGAGAAGGGGACTGCAGTACAAACTAGTATCACCAAAACTAACTGTATGCAGACATTTAAGAGGCATATATGGATTCCTTGTCTAGATCTTATAACAATGAACATCTATTTTCAGTCTGACAATGGGTATACATTGACAGATACCACTATCTGAAAATAAAATGAAACAATATTGGCACAATCTCCAGAATCAGAATTATCTCCAGAAATGTATATAGCTACAGATCAAGATGGATTGTTCAATGGAATCTCTTTTAAGTAAACGTTCAAAATTAATTGGAGGAAAGCTGTCGTATAATGACAAAACGAGAAAGAGATAAAAAGTTTAAATTGACATCTTACCTCACTTTCCACAGCTACAGTAATTTGTTTTTTCAGCTCATCCCAGTTTAGGTCGGTAAGCCTCTCAATTCCTTGAGAATATATCTATAAAAACATTACAATAACCTTCACACTGCTGAATAGTCAAGATTCCATATACATGTTCAAGATTAGATTTTCTAAGTTAAATGACATTGTCATACATGCTTCACAGTAACCTAGTAACTGGCAAACGCACAGAGAAAGAGTGACCCAAATTATATTTCTCCACGGTACTACCATGTTTCCCCAAAAATAAGACAGGGTCTTATATTAATTTTTGCTCCAAAAATGCATTAGGGCTTATTTTCAGGGGATGTTTTATTTTTTGTCATCTACAACAATCTACATTCATTCAAAGACAGTCACACCATCTTCTTGTGGTTGCAGCACAGTGATGGAGGGTGGGCTTTCACTTAACTGGGGCTTATTTTGGGGGTAGGGCTTATATTACGAGCATCCTGAAAAATCATATTACAGTGGTGCCCCACATAGCGACGATAATCCGTTCCAGAAAAATCATCGCTATACGGGGCAAAGAAGCCCATAGGAACGCATTAAAACACGTTTAATGCATTCCTATGGGCAAAAAACTTACTGTTATGCCAAGATCCTCCATGCGGCCACCATTTTCGCTGACCGGTAAGCGAAGAAAGGGCGCGAAAACACAGCGGGCGGCCATTTTCTTTACCCAGCGGCCATTTTGGAACTGCCAATCAGCTGTTTAAAAAACCATCGTTATGCAAAAATCGATAAGCGAAATGCTTACCGATCATCGCAAAGCGATGTTTGCCCATTTAAAACATCGTTATGCGATTGCTTTTACGATCGCAAAAAACCATCGCTATGCGGATTCGTTAAACGAATTGCTCGTTATGCGGGGCACCACTGTAGGGCTTTTTTCAGGTTAGGTCTTTTTTCAGGGAAACGGTACAGATTTGGCTTAATTCACCAACAGATTACCAAAGTGTTAACATAAAAATTAAGAGTGACAAGTTGCCTTGTGCCATTAAGTCTACTATCACTCAAGGGAAACACAATATGATATTAGAACTTTTCTTGCCTCTAATTTTTGGATTTTGAATAAAGACCCCTACATTTCTAAATATGTCAATGTTTTGATATTTTTTTACACTAATAATTATCCCCACATTTAAGATCACTGTTTGTTCCATGCTGCAGTCTCAGTAAATATCTTTAAGTAGTGGGAGCATATGAATTGTGTCTGTGTAAGGTCATGTGCCCAAGGAGATGCTTTTTCCACTTTGCCTGCACTGCGGCTTAAAGGCAGCCAAAATAACAGCTACCATGGGGATGGGGGAACATCCTTTTTGAAAAAATAACATAGGACACTGATTAGAGAGGGGTCTATTTCTTTTGTTCATTTTTACCTATCTGAATTGTCTTGTGGTTATTTATCTTTTTCTCTCCTGTTTTGTGATGTACCACAAAAGCCTTATGTGGAAGAGGTTCTCCCTAACCTCCGTCTTCTAATTTAATATTGATTCCTTGTCTAAATCTTATAACAATGAATATCTAAACGTACATTGTTCAATTTAATTTTCTTTTGATCCTAGTTCTTTCCTTTTATCTTCCCTTAAATTCACCTTAATATTAAAATCCTTTTCTTAAAACCACCCTGCTCTTTCAAAGTGTTATGAAGGCAGGAAATACTAAAAGTGCCTTTCTGCCCTTGATACAGCCATCCCTGGTATTTCCTGATGCCTATCCACAGTGATCTCTTTTTTCTTTCTTTTTTTCTTTTCACTTCTAAATGTTTAACTCATGTGTCAGTTTCTTTACTTTTTAAAAAATTTATTTATTGAACAATTTTATTGTTCTTTTAACTTTGCACTTTCCACCTAAAGTTCCAAAATCTAAAGCTTTAACACTGTTATGCTGCAAGAAAACACCTTATTCTTCAAAGCACCAATATTTCACTTATATTTAACACAGCTATATAACCATAAGCATCTACTGATATTTCGTTTTCTAAGGAGCAGAGGAGTTGATAAAAAGAAAATTACAATATACTTCCAGAATTATTAATATTATTATTTGGATAAATCAATCTTTCCATATCAGTCATCACCCAGCTAAATATTCACTGTACACAATACCTTATCTGCACTGAAGAATGCTATTTAACTCCCTTGCGTGTGCTTGACAGCATCTGCCTTCTACTGTAAAGACTAGATTTTGATTTCATTCATCTTCTCAGTCCAGCATCAAGTGCTCTGTAAATGTTTAGACTATTCTTTTCATCAGTCCTTTAAATCTCCATCTGTCAGACCCACTTTGATTTCAATTCTTGCACTGAGCAGGGAGTTGAATTCAATGACCTTATAGGTCCTTCAAATTCCATTATTCTATGGTTCTATGATAACTACTGAATTTCCAAGAAATTATAAATTTTATTCCACTGTCCAATGGAATCTGCAAATACTGTATTCCTATATATATATAAAACTGTGTAACACCAGGACAGATCCTGAAGCTAAGGCTCCAATACTTTGGCCATCTCATGAGAAGAGAAGACTCCTTGGAAAAGACCCTGATGCTGGGAAAGAGTGAAGGCAAGAGGAGAAGGGGACGACAGAGGACGAGATGGTTGGACAGTGTCATCAAAGCTACCAACATGAATTTGACCAAACTCCAGGAGGCTGTGGAAGACAGGAGGGCCTGGTGTGCTCTGGTCCATGGGGTCACGAAGAGTCGGACACAACTTAACAACTAAACAACAACACCAATTGCTGTTCAAGAGAATATTTTGTTTAGACGACTGCCAACATACCATACTAACTGTAAATTAGTAGAGAAAAAGTACTCTCTCCCAGTATCTAGAATTACTAATAGTGACACTGAGCACCAAAGGAAATCTTAAGTGACTTGTTAGCATCAATCTTTATTATTCTGAGCAACCATTGTAACAAATAATTAAAGTTCTTGCTCACCTGTAAAGCTTTAAGCAAGGCTGCATTTGTGAATTGGTTAGGCATGAAGATGGCCTCTGTAAATGTTTCCTGTAAGAGTCAGCATGATTGGAAAAACTAAAACAGATCTGCAGGGCTTTTAAAAACAACAACAATGCAGTTGCAATTATATAATCAGTTTAATTACAGCTATGTGCTAGTCCTGAGAAAGAACTGAGAGCTACCAGCTTTTCAAACTGAGTTTTGAATTTCTACTTCCAATATCAGTCATGTGGATACATTAGCATCCATGCAGTGTAATGAAACTTTGATAAACAGTTCATACAACTTTTAAGAAATCCAAGATTTTAGCAAGTAAACATAAACCAAAATTGGTGTATAAAGAGAAAAGTCCTCACAAAAGTATGAAATCAGGCAACAAAACAAGAAGTATAAAGAGGCCAAAATCTATTGATTATTTGGGCCAAGTAAGTGCGATGGTGTAACATGGAGCTATTAATAGCCATTCATTGATGAGCTCTGCTTGAATTCTCAGATACACACCAAGTCATCCAACTGGCCCATGACCAGGAATTCATTTGGGGACTAGTATATTAGTGGCCATTCCTCACTCCATGTGATACCACTGCACTTATTCTAATGTAAATATTTAACCAATTTCTTGTCAGATTATTCTTTACAATGTGTTGTTAATTAGCTCTTATACAGAGACACACTTGGGCACTGGGAATAACAAGGAAAATGGCCCAAATCCTGTTGCTTAGAAAAGTAAATCACACTAGAGTAGGCCTACTAAATCAATAGGAATTTAGTAAGTCAACTCCTCCAGTAATTCAACCGATTAAAAGAAGGCTATTCTAACTATGACTTACTATGCTAAATTAAGTCACAGTTGGAGTAGATCTACTACACTAGAGACAACAGAACGTTCAGCAATGTACATGTAATACTTGATTTCCATTGGCCAAGGCGTTTTGTGTCCAGACAAGAGGGGTGTTGTTTTTTCACAATGGGGGCTATTATCATTTAAGATGGTAGGTTAAATGTTTCTAACCTCCAGTTCTAAGCGAGTCTATAGCCTGTATCAGGTGATATCCAACATCTTTATCACCCGGTGAGACCAAGCTCTTCATCTGTAGCAATTACCCTGTCTTCCTTGTCAAACATTCTCCTCCAATATTTCCCTTTCCTTACTCCCACCCTGCTTACCTTTTACACCTGCCCGATGAAGAACACAGTTCTCTTAAAAGCTTGTCCAGTTGTGTGTTTCTTACATACTTTTTCTGGTTGTCCTGATAAGGACATCACCTTATTATATATTTTAAAAGTAACAACTATATACAGTGGTGCCTCGCTTAACGATTTTAATTGGTTAAAAAAAAATATCGCTATGGGAAAACATCACTAAGCGAAACACGTTCTCCCATAGAGATGCATTGAAAACCGGATAATCCGTTCCAATAGGAACGGATTGCCGTCCTTAAGCGAAAATCGCCATAGGAAACATCACTAAGTGATACAATGTTTTCCCCCATTGGAATGCATTGAAGCCTATTCAATGCATTTCAATGGTTTTGCGATGTCTGTTTTTGCAATTTTAAGTGTGTCTTAAAAGGTTCAAAAACAGTTTTAAATGCTTGGGATCATTAGTGCACCTTCTAAATAAAACCTGAGACTTCCGGTTGGGTGGTGTCAGCGTTTGGCGGTGTTGAGACAGAGCTCCGAGAAGTTTTGAGCAATAGCTGGTGATGTAAGGTAAATCCTTTGAGAATTTTTATTAATGAGAGAGCCTCTTTGCTGATAATAAGCTCAGAGAAGAGAAGAGGAGTTTGTGCGGCAGACACCTTCTATCTAAGAGTTGAGCAGCACTTTATACTCCCCCTTGCATAACACCAGACAAGGAGCCAAGAAGTCAAAGTGCCGGCTGCTGGAATGTTAATGTCTATCTTCTTTCCTTGTTATTAAACACTCCTGCAAGAAACTCTGATGTGAGGCTATTAAGGAACCATTTGTGCATACCAGTTTTAAACCCTGGAAGTGCCCGTTTGACAGCTGTCAAAATCAGGCTCAATGCATTTCAATGGGTGAGAAAAAAATTCACCAAAAATTAACGAAGACTCAGAACAAAGCCAAAGTAAGTTTGCACACGTTTTAGAAGTTGCACTAACAACTCCTAGCATTTAAAACAGTTTTTTAACATTTTAAGACACTTTTAAAATTGCAAAAACAGACATCATTAAGCAAAACAGGGGAACCAAAACGCATTCGCTATGCGAAGCATGGTCCCGAAATCACTAAGCGAAAATCGCCCGTAGGAAACATCGTTAAACGATGTGGAAAATTCTTTTAAAAAACCCATCGCTAAGCGAATACATCGTTAAATGAGGCAATCGCTAAGCGAGGCACCACTGTACTATAAACAAGAAGCATACACTAAATAATAATTATGTGCTGTCAAGTCAATTGTGATTTATAGCAACCCTTTGCAGGGTTTTCTAGGTAGAATACTTAGAAGTGGCTTACCACTCCCTCCTTCTGGGGGCTCCCTGGCACCATGCAGGTCATCCAAGGCCACACAGTTTCATCTGAGATGCGCAGTAGAGAATCAAACTCCCAACCTCTGGCTCTGCAGCCAGATACCTAACTCACTGAGCTATCCAGCCAGCTACACACTAATTATCCAAAGCTATTCTTTGCAAACTGAAACTAGGTCCCATGTTTGTCACTCGTTACCTACTGAAACCTTAGATAAAGTCTTATCTTTCCAAGATGCTGATTTGCTTTGCCTTTATTCTTATTAATACATACAAAATATACCTGCACGAATCAGTAAGTCACCGCAGTACATCTTTATTTATTCTCAGACAGCATTAGATACCCAAAACTATATGGAAACTGATTAAATACTTTAATAATTTGGTATGCATGTTTATTAGTGATTTGAACACTTTCTAAGAAACATTACTGTGGCAATCTATTTGTGTTCAGCCTGAAGGGCTCTATTTGTATTATTCTGTATAAAGTATAAATTGAAAAGATGTAAGACTATAGTTGGTCAAGCCAGTTTGCTGTCTACTCACCCGTGGGTCTTGATCATCTCTAATGTCTACTTCTTCAGCTGGCAAGGGCTGCATGGAAACTTGGTTCCACTGACCAGCAACATTGCTGAAACAGAATTGGACCAATTTATTCGATCATAAAGCATCTGGAGTAACAGACTTGAAATATCTGTGGATGTGCTTCCCACTAACCTAGATTATTAGTATCCCTGTTCCTTAACACCAAATATAATGTCTATTTTATAATACTTCAGCAGCCCAAGGTGTGGGCTCAGATGTGTAGAGAAAGAATGTTATCCATCTGGTTCCAGGGCAAAACTTACTGCTCAAAATTGATGTATTTCACAGTAGCCTCGTTTTCATCATTATGCCACAGTGCCCAGATCTCAGCAGTAGTTAAGGCAAAATCAACAAGTGTCTCCTGAGTAAAAAACAAACAAACAAAACAACCATAAAGAGACGATTCAAATTTTAAGTGTAAACATCACATCTATATGAGTTAGCAATGCAAGGATAGGAGAGAAGAATTAAGTAAGGATCCAGGAAAGTTGTATCTCTTACTCCATCACATGCCACACACTGCCTGTTCATGACTCAGATGCGAGCTGAGGCAGAAGGCAGTTTATCCCAATGTAAAGGGAAGAAACAAGACCCGACACATACCCATGTTTATCTGAAACCCCTATATGTGCACTGACGCAAAGACTTCTTGATTCTCACCTGAGAAGTGAATAGTGATGATATGTGATCAAGACTATAGCGGTGACTCTCAGTGCTGACCAACTGAAACACACAGAACTAAGGAAAGATACAATTATTAACGCAAATAAAATGCAGATAGTTCTGACATCTTCTTACATTTCAGTTCTCTTAACCTATTGTGTTCATATGTGCTGGTAGGTTGCTTCCAACCTATTGCGACTTCCAAAAAGCCCTATTCAACAGCTCTGCTCAAACTTACAAACTCAAGGCTATCGTTCCCTCTCAGATGCACACCTTAATGTACTGAGGGGTTTGAGCAAAAACACAGCCATCAGGGTGTACAGTCATGATTCTGGACCCCTAGCAGGGTCACCCAAGGTCCAATGGTAAAAGCTGAGGAACTAGACTAAGATGCATCCAATTCTCTTCAAGATTAATAGTCTCATCAGCAAAAGAGAATGGATAATTCCAGTTGTAACCGGAGTGGAGAAATTTCCAAAGGTCAGCTACTGAGCAGCAGCAGAAGTGGAAAGTGACACTGACAGAGAATCTCTCCCAGACAATGGCAGTGACACTCATACCAACTCTTTTTAGTATTGAGAAGAAGACAATAATAAATCACTTTTGAGTATTTCTAGCCCTGAAAATGCTTTAATAAAACCATATCTTAACATATCATTCCATAATTCAGGACATCCTAAAATCACTTTCTTTTGAAAACCAAGATGAATAGATTCCATTTAAGCTCATCATTTCAGGAATAATAAGATCCCTTTTCTATTAAAAGAAACGACATGGGTGATCAGAAAGGAACGTGAGAAAGGGTAGTTTCTTAGAACTATGAATTTAAAAACCAAGTACTTTGCAAACACTTATCTTAATAAATCACCATCACCTTAGGACTGGAGAGCTGGAAGAGACCCTGTGGATCATGAAGACCAGTCACGCTCAAGGAAGAACAGTGGAGAACTGAACTCCCAACCTACAGCTCTGCAGCCAGATACCTAAAGCATTTAGCTACCAATACCAATTCACTGCAATTCCTCCATCTTAAAAGCAAAATATACTTGAAACTGGTTGTTGTGGGTTTTTCGGGCTTCTTGGCCGTGTTCTGAAGGTGGTTCTTCCTGACGTTTCGCCAGTCAGGAAGAACCACCTTCAGAACACGGCCAAGAGGCCCGAAAAACCCACAACAACCATTAGATCCCGGCCGTGAAATCCTTCGCGAATACTTGAAACTACCAGCATTTTCAAGCTCTCCTTTTTACTTAGGATCTTAAACCAAACGCTATACAGTTCTAAACTGTCTAGACTGTACAATACAAATTCAAAAGACAAATTCCTGCTGGAGTAACTTTATGTTGGTATAACCTGGATCAGGCATCGGAAACATTTAATTAAACCTTTTAATTAAAAGCTTCAGCCCCATCCCCATTTAGGTTCTGAGCATCCCCAGGGTTCTCTTTTGCCTTGGGGAAGACTTTGGGAGCTTTGGGATGGAAGCCTTTAAAAATCAGAAATCACTGCTGGATTGCTGGCAGTAGGATTAGGCAATTATTTTTTTACTTTTAAAGACTCCCCACATGCGGTCCTGAGGCGCCCCAAGGCTCCCCAGGGCAAAAGTAAGACCTGAGGAGTCTCAAAAACTAAAACTGCATAGAGTAGAGCAAGGAAGCTTATAATTAGTGTAAATTCAATGTTTCCAGTATCTGATCTGGGTTATGCCAGCACAAAAGTTATGCAACACAATTTTGCTACATAAACTCAACATAACATTTGTAACTCAGGTAATTTTTTTTAAACTTTCAACATAGCATCAAAATAATATTCTATCAGTGCAAGATATTCCAGTACCTGTCCTTGTTTGGGTGCATGCAAATATACACCAATATAAAGCCCCAAGGTCTCAGAATATGCTAGCTGCAATTTGTGTCCAGTTCCAGCAGTAAGTCTCAGATCTTTATTTACAGGCACAAACTCCAATATATCAGCCACCATCAGGCACATTTGATCCTGCCAAGATAAGATGCCAGATGAGGGAAGAAAAAAACAAAACAAATAGGAGAAGTGTGTAAATATGACTAGTAAAACATTATTACGTATATGACATCGGGCAAATAATTTATTCCTTCCTGACTTAATAATATGCAGGATTTAAACATCACATTTCCTTATTTGCATCTAACTAAGACAATGTTTTCAACCTGTAAGTCCTTCTGTTTTCAAGAATGTACGTTGTTCTAACTTAACAGCTCTTTCAGATAAGGTTACACTTAAAACAAGGGAGGCCATCAGGCTGTAGGCAGCCCATGAAGCCAATCTTACACCCTCGCAACCCCCAAATACTCTTTTTTAAACTTTTCCCCAGAACACAGAATGGCCTGCACCTGAAAAAACAGTGGTAAAGTCCCAGTTGCTTTTCCATGTTACCAGCTGTAGCTTTAAATTTATATAATCTTGTACAGTGGACCCTTGACTTACAGACGGCTTGACTTACAGACTTTTGGAGTTACAGACTTCTCTGGCCGCAAAATTTAGGTTTGACTTGCAGCCTGAGAATTGACTTACAGACCAGAAAAAAACCAAAATGGAACAAAAACGGCCTGTTACGGGATTAATCGGTTTTCAATGCACTGTAGGTCAATGGAGACTTGACCTACAGACTTTTTGACTTGAGAACCGCCTTCCAATACAGATTAAGTTCTCAAGTCAAGACCCCACTGTATAAACTTGTTCAGTATTTCATTACTGTTTGTAGCATTATTTCTATCTAAAACAAGTTTTACCTTAATTGATGTGATTCAGAAAGTCTTCACTCATGTTAAGTACTTCTGCATTATTGGCTGGCTTAAGCTCATTGTCCAAGTGAAGACGTTCTGAGTCAGTCAGTGATATGAAGATGGAAATAGACTTTCAGATTTATTTATTTATTTATTTTATTTCTATCCCGCCTATCTGATCAAATTAGACCACTCTAGGCGGCCTACAATAAAAACAACAATATAATTTTAAAAACTTTACACCTAAGACAGAAATGAAAATAAAAAACAGAATAAAAGAAAAAAGATCGTCAAGAGTTTGTTGTTGGGAAGGCCTGCCTATACATCAGTGTTTTT